CTGAAATTAAATATAATTCTTCAGTTAAACTGGCGCCCTTAAATCAAAAAAAAAAATATTTCCCCAAAAGTGTCTATTAGAACAGCCTGAATCCACAACTGAGAAAACCATAGTTTCATATGCTCATTTGATTTTCTGATTTAATTAAGGGTAGCAAATGGTTTGATTTAAAATATCTAAGAGCTGGTGAAAATTGAATATAATTAACTAACAAAGGTAATTAAACGTTAATTATCACTAATTAACGGCTTTTGTTTTAAAAATGTATAGGTTTGGTCAGCTCCTCGTTTATGGACCACCCTGTATATTTAAGAATAATTTTTAAATATGGTTATACAACTTTTATATTTTTTTGTATTTTCAATAATAAAACAGCTATCGATCAATTACGCACTGATGAGACACCCTGTATATGTGTTATTGGCTAACATGTTGGTATCATTGGATACTTAAAAGAGATTTTATGATTAAATAATATACAGGGTGTTGCATTTGAAAAATTGAGTAAATTGAACTTAAAATTAGTTATATTTAAAACATGTTTCAAAACTTACATATAAAAAAATCTAGTTCTATCAGCACTATTCGTTAGCTTATTATTTTATGAGTCTGTACTTTAAACAGTTTTTAAATCATTATAAATCTACCTAAATTATGTTCATTTAATTTGGGGTCTGCATATTCTTTAATTTCATAAAACAATTAATTGTTTGACAACCCTGAATATTTAAAAAAATTCTAATGTTAAATACAGTATTACCAAACCATTCTAAAACTAAAATAAAATAAATTCAATTTAAAAAATATACATTCATATTTTCCAGGAAAAAACTCAACATCTGTATATCCAAAAATATTTTTAAAATAAGTATTTTTTAAATCCATATAACTTTTATTTAAAACTTGTTCACAAATTGAAAAAGAAAAATTGAACAATTACACCAGTATTATATGTTGTTAATAATTACTAAATGATAAAAACTGTGGACTAAAACATGAGAAAATAGCATACATTTTGTACATGTCTGTTCTGTACTACTCACTTTGTAAATTAATTCCTAAATATAACATTGCTAAATGCATATGCATACCATAAGAGTTTCAGCGGTTTGAATAGTTTACTCTTCATTTTATTGTTAATTAATTTTCATGTCAATTAAATACGAGCACCGACAAATTCTGTAACAAGCTGCCCAACATATTATTTTCCAATATTACACGGATTAATTAGTCGGTTACTTGTCAAACTATTTTCATAGCCACAACACATTGTTGTTATTGTGAACCTTTGAGAGTACAATAGGGTGCGTTAAGTGAGCGGTCGGACCGGTCGAAACTGTCTAGCGAAAGAGAAAATCGACCAACATGACCAGTCATGACTAATCAGCTGATCGGTCAGAGTCAGTCAGCACGGTCGAGAAATTGAGTTTGACTTGGTTAGTCAAAACTGTCTAGTGAATGGGCACTTGTGTCAATTCATGTTTTTATTTCATTTAAATATTCAAGAAATTAATAGTTATGGATAAACTAATGTTGTTGAAATTTCATCATCAGTTTGAAAAGCCATAATAAGTTTATTTATCTTTCTGCTGTTTATATTATTTTTTTCTAAATGCCTTTTAATTGAGTTTACCGCCTGCCTGGTCTTGAAATTTTCGGCTAGCTAATCATGAATTTTACAAATTAGGACTAGACAGTTTCAAATACATCGCCTAGCGAGCGGTCTGACCATACCAGTCAAGTTGACCGTTAACTTAACGCAGCCCTATAAACTGTAATTTATAAATATTTTGAAATAAAGTTTCCTGGTTATTAAAGGATATTTAATGGATGATGCAAATGTTTTTATTTAAAATGCTCGACGTAGTGTCGGCTATCAAGACATCTCTGGTGCATAGTCAAATTTAAATGTTTCTTCATTCTAAAACAGCATAGGCATGTTACAAATTTAAATTTATCGCAAACAGAAAACGTAGTTGACAAATGTAGGACTAACTAAATAAACTCAAAAATTTTGAAAACATGAAATACTCGGTAATTCAACTTTCTGTTCTTTGAACGCTTGTAACTCGGTATATGTTTTAAAGAATTTTTATAAATGTATTTAGTTGTCTGTTCAATTTTTCTATAAATTTTAAACTTAATTACTTCTATTTTTGTAATTATTTTTAATAATACTCAAAATAATAATATAAACACAACCAATTTTAAAATAGGTCTATATAGGCTTTTTAAAAATATTTTTAAAAATTGCAAGTACGTACTTATACAAAAATATATTTGAAAAATTAAAAATTAATGTTTTTGTAAATAAACTATATTTTACTTTACTAGGCTTAGAGAATAGCTTAGAGAATAGCCCTCATATTATTGTGTCAAGCACGTTATTGATTCCTTTTACAAGACTCAAAGAACTTCTAGACTTCAGGAATTATTAGGTAAAAGTGCATAAAGAGGTACATCATAACAACCACTGAATACAAAAAAATGGTCCTTCGAGCCGGATATTTATTAGAAATTTGAATTAATAATTTGTGACGAGGTCACTAGATTTTACATTTCATTAAAAAATGTTTAGTTCAAGGTTATGTCCGCCTGTTAGCGTTCTCAAGAACTCTCGTTATGTTTATTTTTTAAAAATTTCCTTTTGAAACATTTGCAAGAACCCCCGTAGTTCAAAATATATTATTCTTTACCGAAATTTGAATCAATTCATGTAAATTATCTGTTCATTAACGCAGATGTCAAAAAGGACGGTTATTTTAATCCTCTAGGAAGTAAACATTAGCTACTCCCACTCTGAACCACTCGTAACCCGAACTAGTCCGATCGTAAAGCATAAAGCTGAGATCCCATCGAAATATTTCTTTTTCCAGTTCGAGTTTCCGAATTCAATTAATTTAAACCGTTACCGACATTTTCGTTTTTTATTTTCACGATTTCTCAGAAAACTGTGGAAAACTAAGATCGCTAACTATTAGCCTTTTATTAGGATTTATTTTGTTGTTCCTCTAATCGACGTTGAATATTTGCAAAGACATCATTTTTATAACCCAAGAAAAGTAATATTTCCTAGTTCTGTATTGTGTACCATTTTGCGATTTCTAATGTTTAGTTAGAGGCTAGGCCAGTGATGGCACAGGCTGGTTTCAACGACGGGATTTCTTAAAGCCAGAGTTCAAGCTTCATAGCCCAAGAAAATTAATTTTACAACTTTGTACGGAACATCGTTTTGAGTTCCGCCGACCTAATTGCTCAACATCCAAGGTACCCCGAGTCAATAGATCCTTCACTATTCCGTTAGTCAGTGAATCTGTAATTTATTCTAGACCGTCGACTACGAGACAACATTGCTCTCTTATTCGTCACTGAATCAACCGTTTTAAACCACATCCCTTTGAAAATATTCCTTTAAATGGAAAATGTCAATTAAATTAGTTGAATCGCCACCAAGTTTCATTTTTCCGACAATCTGACCATATTCCCAGGGGTATCGCAGTTTAGTAGGATGTCGGTTCATCATTTTTTTTTATTTTTCTATAAAAATATTCCTTGTTAATAGGAATGCCAGTTGAAATAAATAAATAAAAAAATGTTATAAATATGTACGTCAAGTAAAGTAAATTTACTTTTAGTAGGAAAAGTGCAAGCGTATCATAGATTTATTTTATTTATTGTCGTAAAGCTTTATTACACCGTATTAGTATTCCGAAAATGATTTAAAATTTCGGATTTAATTCTTTTGTATTTTTATTTGTTCCCACGAAGCTTTAATTTTGTAAATATTTTCGTTAGGTTAATTATACTGTTAACTTAGAGCTTTTCAGCGTTTATTAAGATTTCTATTTATTTTTATATTTTTTTTTTCTGTAATTGATTGTAAATAAAGACTAAAAAAAAACACTTTTCATGGTCCTTCGAGTCGGATATTTATTTAAAATTTGAATTAATAATTGTTGAATGTTGAATATTCTCTGAAATCAAATATGTACATTTGCGAAATGAACAGTTTATGATATATTTAATATATGTGACAAATACGAGGTTATAAGATTGAAAAATGGCGACACAAAATTTAAAAAAGTTGATTTCAACATATGAGAAAATAAAACAAATGTCTTTATTGCACTTTAAAGGTTAATTTTTGATACCTTTGTTTGACTGAATGTATTTTGCTTTCTGAAGTCGTTCCTTGATGTTTTGAAAGAGTATTGCGTTTTTTTTGTCTTCGTGAAGCGACGTTGATTATTTTCTTGAATTGTAGTTTTGTCTTCTTGAAACAATGAATATTTTCTCTGGCAGTAGTAAAGGGGCTATAGGCCATTCCTTATGTAAATTAACATGGGAAATCGCTAAGGTGAAAAATAGCAAAAAACGTCGAGAATCGAAGTCTAGCTTATCAGTAAATATGATAACGTTAACTCGCGGTTAGATAACGTCGGGAATCTAAGATGGCGGCAATCGTTGACGTAAACAATGCAAAATATACGAGATAAACGAAAAAACAAAGTCAGAAAGGCCTTAGCGTGTTTCTCGGATATTATTGGTCCGATTCAAACGGCATTCAGCGTGAACTGTCATCTAGCTGTCATTTCCAACGAAAGAATTGCCATCAAAGATAAAAGGGCATTAACGTATATCTTCGCTAATAATACATCGATTTGAACAAGGCAAACGGCTTCCAAAGTGATACGATTATGGCTTCTGGTTCACGTAGGACGGATAAAGAATTTTTTATATTCAAAATATCATAACGTATTTTTTCAAAATCACAGTCCAGATTCCGTTTTGACTTGATTGATTGTTGGTAAATAAATGTATAACTTTAGTAGTCAAATAATCATATTTACTTAACCATATTGGTCGACACAAAAGACACACCTACCGGTGTTGATTTTATATATCAAATAAATAAATAACATCTAAGGCTGACATATCACTAGGTTCGTGGTGTGGTACATACTGGTGCCTGCAGCTCCATAAAAAAAATACAAAACAATCCTGAAACATTTTATTTAAAATTCAATCAAACTGAAAAATTTAAACATTATTAACTATTTGACCTCTGGTAGTTTCCTCAAAACACAAATCCCATCCAAAGTGGGAGCAACTATTTCGTACTGATCCGTAGCTAGTTCAGCTCTCTCAGCAGTAGCTAGTAATACAGGAGTCGTGTGGGTATGGATACCGGCTATAGTTTTCGGCGTTCCCGCCTTTCCAACAATATCCACTGCTTGACCAACTCGTACTGTCACTGGCAATGCATTCAGGTCTTCGTCGAGAGTCAACAGCCATCTTGGTTGCATAGCAGCGGCCAGCATATAAATTAAGTAGTGAGTTTGGCCCAAGATTAAACCTTGCGGTTCTAAAAGCGTTACCATTACGGTTAAAAGCCCTGCTAGTGCCACGGAATCCATCAGCATCCTGTCAGTATGCAACGGATCAAACGTCAACGTTCCTTTTCCCATATGGACTAATCCTTGAGAAAACCGAACCATAAACAACTCCGAAGGATTCTTATTATGGAAAACAGCCAGTTGTCTTAGAATGGCAGCCAAACGGGCGTTATTAGTTCCCGCGCCGATTATACCCAATCCAAAAATCGAATTGACAGCCACGTCTTCGTCAGCGTCGTGAGAGTATTTCGTCAGCACGTCGATGACGCTGAGTTGTGGATTGGAAACTGAAGAAAGCGACATGGCCAGTGAAACTGCACGACGAACTGACGCTTCGCCGTATCGAGAAACGTGACCGAAAATTCGGTGAATCATTTCCACGCCTATAGTAAACAGAAACAAAATTGATAGTTCAGATAATACAATTTTATGAAATGTGGAAAAGGTAGAGATGAAGGTAGGAAAAACATACTACTGCATTTTAGTTTGAAATACATTTAATGAATTTTGTGTTAGTGAGAATCTAAGAAGAGAGTAAATTCTGTCAGACTTCCAAGCAGCCTTATAGACTCATTTTCGTATTTTACAAGGAGTACCGGTAGCACCGTTTATTTTATTTTAATATATAATTTTGTTAATAATTCCTGTGTTTCTTTTCTTTTATTACCGAATTTTAACCGTTTTATTTCAGGGTACGTTAGGGCGGTACAAGGTGTGAGTTAGTGTAGTGTTTGATTTACTTTATTCGTGGTGACTACTCCGTTAGCAGTGACCACCTGGAATTATTTTAATTCCACTGAGTTTATTTTGTTCTAAGGGAACTCTTCAGGGTTCACTTCCCTAGTGCACAAACCATAGCACACCCACCGGCTAACCGGAATCAAAACGGACTGGAAGCTCATAATAGAGCCAACAGGGAAGATTGGAGGATATCCAAACAAGTGGTGAACTATGATAAACTGAAATGGGCAATCAACTCATTCGAACCATATAAATCAGCGGGCATGGACGGGATTTGTCCAATAATGTTAAAAAGAGGTCCTGATATTTTATACAGCAGACTCTGTAACATACTCAGAAGTAGCCTGGCCTTTGGACACATACCAAAAGCTTGGAGAAATATTAGGGTAACTTTTATACCAAAACCTGGGAAAATAGGACAGGAAACGGCAAAGTCCCTAAGACCAATAAGTCTTATGTCCTTTGTACTTAAGACTTTGGAAAAACTGCTAGATAGGCATATTTGAGACGGGATATTGGTTCAGAGGCCAATATACCAAGACCAATACGCCTATAGTGCAGGGAAATCAACTGAAACAGCTCTCCATCCATTAATAAAAGGGGTGGAGAACACACTGGATATCGAGGGTGCATTTGATAATACCTCCGTTGAATCGATCATTAGATCTCTCAAACACAAATAAATCGAGGACACGTGCGTGTCCTGGATCGACTCTATGTTAAGCGAGAGAACTATACACACAACCCTTATGGAAGAGACAATAGCGGCACGGGTAGCGAGTGCTGTCTGCACTCCTGTGGAACCTTGTAGTGGACGGGCTGCTTAGGGCTGTCAAAGATAAGGGACATAGAACCCTGGGATATGCCGATGATCTAGTGATCATGGCACAGGGAAAATACGACACTAAAGTAAGAGATCGAATGCAAGAGGCTCTAAATCTAGTAACAAAATGAACAGAGGCGGAAGGACTAAACATTAGCCCAAACAAATCTGACATAATTGCATTCACCCACAGGAGGAAATTGGAGGGACTAGGGCCTCTAAACCTAAGAGGTGCAAGCATCCAGCTTAAGGGGGAGGTAAAATATCTCGGGGTTATGATTGACTCGAGACTTACCTGGAATCAGCTTCTAGAAAAAAACCACAAGGAGAGCGAAAACCTCATTATTGATAGAAAGGCGATCCTTTGGAAAAAAAATGGGGGTTAAAACCAGACATGGTATATTGGCTTTATAACATAGTGGTGAGACCGATAATAACATACGCAGCTTTGGTGTGGTGGCCAAAGATACAGCAAAGGAAAGCAATAACGGGGGCAATGAAAACAACTCCCACTGCTGCAATGGAAGCACTAATAGGACTCCCACCTCTTCACTATGTGAACCAAGGGGAGGCAAGATTAGGTGCTTACAGATTAGGGAATACACTGGGAAATCTTGACATTAGACCAGGTCACATAAGTATCTCAAGATTAGTGACAGGAGACGTGCTAGACATGAGATCAGACCACATAACCAAGAGGTACTCTTTCAATACTACATTTGAAATTTTAGTACATGAAAAAGCGGAGATCACCATAAGGAAGCCCAGTGCCCAACGACAGGAACAAACCTGGTATACAGACGGGTCTAAGACTTACGGAAGGCACTGGGGCGGGAGTTTTCTGCAAAAACCCTGATACTAACCATAGGTATGCTATAGGAATACATTCCTCGGTATTTCAGGCCAAGGTATACGCAATTTTGCAATGTGCAAAAACAAACAATGAAAGAGCTGTCGAAAATTAGCATATTCAAATAATGTCAGACAGCCAAGCGGCACTTAAGGCCATATCGAGTCAGAAAGTTACATCGAGGCTGGTATGGGAATGCATCGATGAACTAAGAACACTGGCAGACCAAAATAGACTAAAACTATTTTGGGTGCCAGGTCACCAAGGGACCGAAGGCAACGAAAATGCTGACGAACTTGCAAAAAGAAGGTCAGAAGAAACACCGGAACTAGATACAAACCCAGGAGTACCAAAAAGTACAGTCCGGGGTTTCATAAACGACTGGATTCGGGAACAACATATCAACTATTGAGGAAATACCACAAAACAGGCACATGGAAAAGCCTTCATAGGCAGACCATGTCCCAAAAGAACTGGAGAACTGCTCTTTATGAATAGGAACCAGTTGAAAGTGATAACAGGGTTCATGACTGGGCACGCCCCAGTAAAGGGACACTTGAACAAAATTGACATGTGCAATGGGGAACTCATGTGCCGACTATGTCACAAGAAACCAGAAACGGCCAAACACACACTGTGCGAATGCGAAGCTCTAGATCGCAAAAGACAGGCTCTCTTTGGACAACCCCAGATTGATCCAACAATGTATAGAACCCACTCACCCAAGGATCTGTACAAACCTGTACAAGGTACAAAGGTGACAGAGTGGGTGCTATGAACTAACATGGGGTAAAACACAATAAGCCAATAGGCTTCAGTGTTTATTCGGAGACATAGTCAGACGAGACCAGGGAAAAAAAGAAGCCTCGTTCTAGAAAACAGCCTGACGCCAACTGCGCTTTTCTATTTACTATAAGGTGAAACGGGAAGATCTGCCGCCAAAGGCAATAAGCAATTAGAATGCCTGTAAACAGGCGCTAATTTTGTTTGATCATAGTCAAGTATTGGTATTATGTAGTAGTGTCAGGTTAACTTAAAAACTCCCTGACAATTCTCCAATTTCTTTTTTGTCATTTTTTGGGTTTTTGGTACCCAGACAACTGCACCATACGTTAGCATAGGTCTTATGCCGTGAAATTCTATGAGACAACTCTGGTGGCGAAACCCCAGGTGCGCTCTACGGTTCAGCAGCATTGTTTATAAGCAATCTATGCACTTTTACTCTGCTTCCTAAGTGTTAACTTACTGTTATGGTGAATTCTAGGTACTTCACCTCTGTTGCAAAGTTTAGTTTTGTATTTAGGCTGCATTAAATCGACGGTCAAGATGACTGGTATGGTCAGACTGGTCGCTAAACAATTTAGTCTGCGCAAGAAGTACTAGATAGCTTGTTTTAATTGACCCACTTGGCTGTTTCAATTTAATTTACTGTAACCAAACTTAATTGTTGTTGAATATGTACAAGAATCGTGAAATATAGAGGAAAAGGCGTACAAGGAAAATCTACGAAATCCAAATATGCAGTTTTCAGAAAAATATTATTTGTTCAATATTTATTAGGAAGTGGAAAATAAAATGAACATGAACACAATAGACTGTAGGCCCACGAAATGATGTATCCAAATGGTGGCACTATAAGAACTACAGTGGCAGTAGGAGGAAAAGGAGGTGGAGGAGAAATATCAGCAGACTGGAACCCAAACCTCCTTGAGGAACCTGAATTCTTAAAGGAGGAAAGCCGGAAAATGCATAAGAGAGAAAAAAAATATTATTCTTCCACATTCTGAAATTTAAAATCTTTCTGTCTAAAAACAAGATTAACTTACCGATATCCTCACCCATAGCGACGACAGCAACCGCCAAAATAGCCATCGATTGTCCACTCGAATAATCCCATTCCGCTTTTCTGGGACCCTTAATTTTAGTAAAACTGCCCCTTCTCTCCTTTCTCTCCTTCAACCGTTCTCCCTTATCTTTCTTATCTTTTTTCGGTACTTCGACTTTCTCGCCGACGATGCGTAACAGTTCTTGGATAATCAAGACATCGCCGGTACCGGCGTACGCGCACATCAATAACGTGGTCTGTATGGTCGTTTTGAAGGGTTCCTCCATGACGTTCATCATCTCGGTAGGGACTTCGATGCCGTCTCTAGCTCTGAAATAGCACAAAGACAAACCGAGACCGACTAAACGCATGAAGGCCGATTTTAAGAGATCCGTGTTGTTCATTTCGATTATTTTGTTGAATATCGTTTGAGGGATTTCGTTATCGCATTTGCCGATGGAGATGAAGCCTAAGGCGAGGCAAACTAAGCCTAAAATTTCCATAGATTTGGCGGTGTTCACTAAAGGGAGCAGTAAGTCGATTACGTCTTGTCGGTGGGATCCTAAAAAATTCCATGGTTGATAAAGAACCGACAAAAAAATGGTTAAAACTGATTAGTACGAGTAAAAACCCACTAGGTCCGCTAATTTATTCTCGATAAAAAAATTACGGTTCACTTTAATCCGCCAGAAGTGCAATCGTGTAAATTACAGTTTATTTTAGCTTTTATCAATCAAAAAATACAACTAGAATCTAATTTTCAACATAACATTTCGCACTTCCTCTTCAAAAATGAAACAACTCAAAAATTACCAGTTTTTGTTTCATGTTGACAAATCTAATAAAAACCTTATACTTTTCATCTATAAGTTTGTCTTAAGTTTGTTTCTATGAATATTAAAAAATTAGTAGTTTTAGTTACCTTACAGGTAAGTATATTAATAGTTATTTATGTATCAAGGGCGTAAAACAGGCGTTGATGGACCACAACGTGTAAGTAAGAGCACGAGCCGCTAGGCGAGGGCTATTAACACGTATGCCTTGAATGCCCCGAGATCATTTCCTTATACAACAAGTATGTGGGAGGTGTTGATTTGACAGACTATTTGACTAGTCTCTACGACTTTGATCGGAAGTCTACCAAATGGTGGTAAAAGGTTTTTTACAAAATGATGTTGATGACTGCTGTAAATTCCTACATTATCCATAATGAAGTAAAACGCAAAAAGATACCATTTTTGGATTTCTTGGTGTCTTTGACAGAAGGTCTTATTGAACATGGGAAAAGTAAGGCGAAGTGTACTAGATGCTTATAAAACAATATTGAAAAACGCACAAGATCAGTCTGTAGAGCATGTGGTGTCCTACTATGTAACAAAATATTTTACACATTATCATATGTAATCACAAATCTTTGTTTATTGTAAAATTAGTTACTAAAAATACAGTTTTATATATATATATATATATATATATATATATATATATATACCGGGTGTCCCAGATTTTTTTGCCCAGCGGATATCTCGGTTATTTAATGATATAAAATTGTAAAAAAAAATATGAATAATATTTGTCTAGTAGCCTTTTAAATTCCACTACATAAAGTTATATTCATCAATCCACCCCATAGGAACAACCCCTAACTTTTTTTTTCAAATGTCACCCCTATATTTTTTTTCGCTGATATAAATACTCAATTTGTCCCGAATGCAACGATATGATATTTGATATACTTTACAGAGTCATAAAGCCGGTAAAGACTAAAAACCAATGTTGTGGTTAAAGTCATTAATTTTGTATCACCTGGTATTTTCTTTTTATTTTGATTAGAATTGCTTCGTTTTTGTTTTTTTTTTTGTTACCTATAACTAACTAACGATATGCTTAGACCATTTCTGAAATTGTTCGCTAGCTATAAACAACAGACAAAATGCCCTTTACATTCACTCCAAACGAATATGTTGATATGCTTTTAATTTTTGGTGAGTGCCAAAAAAATTCTCGTGCTGCTGTACACTTGTATCAACAGAGGTTTCCTGAGCGCCGACAACCATCACGTAAAACATATTCTTATGTTGAGACTAGGATGAGAGAAGGGTCATTTCCAGGAAAAGACAAACATCGTCAACATGCTGCTGCTGTAAGAACTGAAGAAATGTGCATTAATGTATTAGCTTATGTGCAAGTACATCCCCAGATATCGACGCGAAACCTAGCTAACGAGGTTCATATTAGTAAGTCGTCAGTACAAAGAATCCTAAAATCCTATAATTTTCATCCGTTTAAAATTCATTTGCATCAGGAACTTAGAGCTGGAGATTTCGAAAGAAGGATAACATTAATAGCACATTTTGAAGATTTAATGGAACGAAATCCCAACATTTTGAACCAGATATTGTGGAGTGACGAATCAAGGTTTCACAATAATGCTACTGTAAATCGTCACAATATGCATTATTGGTCTCCTGAAAACCCTCACTGGGTTAGGGAAACTAACTTTCAGACCATCTGGGGAGTAAATGTGTGGTGTGGATTATTTCAGGGACGACTGATAGGTCCCTATTTTTTTCAAGGTACGTTAACTGGTGCTAGGTACCTTCCAGAACTTCTTGAAGAAATTCCAATACAAGAAAGAGGTGCTATGTGGTGGCAACAAGATGGAGCTCCTCCACATAATAGTAATTTAGTTACCCAATTTTTAAACGAACGCTTTGAAAATCAGTGGATCGGAAACAGCGGCCCTTTGAGGTGGCCTGCGCGTTCACCAGATTTATCGCCTCTAGATTTTTTTTTATGGGGATATCTGAAGACCGTGGTATTTGAAACACAGCCATTGAATTTAGAAGATTTGCAAAATAAAATAGTACAAGCCTGCAATAACATTACACCAGAAATGATTACAGCGTCATGTACTCGTGAACTCATTCGACGTTTTGAAGCATGTTTGGCAAGTAATGGGGGCCATTTCGAACAATTTTTGTAAATATTCAATTATTTAAAAAACATATTAAGAGGTTTACCTATTCATTGGATTTGTTATTTTTTAATATAATAAAATGATAAAATGTAAACTAACTATTAATGACTTTAACCACAACATTGGTTTTTAGTCTTTACCGGCTTTATGACTCTGTAAAGTATATCAAAAATCATATCGTTGTATTCGGGACAAATTGAGTATTTATATCAGCGAAAAAAAATATAGGGGTGACATTTGAAAAAAAAAAGTTAGGGGTTGTTCCTATGGGGTGGATTGATGAATATAACTTTATGTAGTGGAATTTAAAAGGCTACTAGACAAATATTATTCATATTTTTTTTACAATTTTATATCATTAAATAACCGAGATATCCGCTGGGCAAAAAAATCTGGGACACCCGGTATATATATATATATATATATATATATATATATTATTATTTTACAACTTTCAAGACTGATGGGCTGTAGGGTCCCGGTAGAACGGATTAATGGGACAATATGTCCCATTTTTCAAAATATTAAATACATTTTGTAAAATTCTAAAAAAATACAAACTACTTAAAAAGCTTCCTAATGTTAGGAAATGAAATAATATTAATGATTACAACACGTAAAACAGAAATAAAAATCCGTCCTGAAAGGGTTAAATTACAAGTTTCGAAGGTATTTAAAAAGTATTTTGAAGATTAGTTTCATTTCATCCACAAGATTTTAAACTGGAATATTTTGAAAGCGATTTGCATAACGTTTTGTTTAACATTTTCCGCAAACTTTAGCATTGCTCCGTCTCTCATTTTAGAACATTTTAATTCCGTATTTTACCTGCATAAGCCAAAGCTATTCCCATTATAGCTCCGATCTGGAGCGTCTCGTTTTCTGTAGCCACATAATCTCCTAATAGCGCCAACGCTGGATCACATTCGTTTCTAACTCTACAGTTCACTATACCCAGCGCTAACAACGCGCCAGATTTTATGAAATCGTCAGTGGAGTAAAGGTACTTATCAATTGGTGTTAGACCTCCATCGACGTCCCATAAATGTAGCAGACCAAGGGAAGCGGTAGCGCTTAGCATGCCGTGGTCTTTATTGCGATAAATCCATTTGTTGCCTTAAAAAATAACAATAATAATCAGAAAAATACTTAAGAAATAAAAAAATTCGAAATCTTTCATTCACTGTTGAATCTATTTTTGACTACCTTGAGACAAAATGAATAATATTTGGTTTTTATTCATTTAAATTCAAAAAACTCATAGCACTGTTAGGAAATTCTAAAAGAATTTAAAAATATTTATAAGACAACCGTAGTTCCCTATTTCCCTATTTAATTTATAAGACTTGTTACTGACTACGCCTCTGTGCAAGCTCGAGCTATTAGTAACTATTATTTAATGTACAAGAAGTAATCAAATTTTGAATTTGATTTGTGCAGGTGTCCGAACAATTACATAACTTAAAGTCACGCTATATACAATCAGTCTACGTTGCAGAGTTGCCAGATTGGGGGATTTTTCCCAAAAATTAGGGGATTTTTTTTTCAAAGTATTGTTAAGGGATATTTTTTCTGGGGATTTCTTTTGAAGAAAAATATTTAACCGGGGAAAACAGTAGACTTTAGGTCTGACACTTACTTCTCGACTCAAATCTAACCTCATAAATCTCAAAATCAAAGTTTTGTACTGAGTAAAGATAAATTTAATGCTAGCATATGATACTTCTAAAGAAAATTAATCGGTTTGGATATTTTTGCTGACATTGATACAAACTAAAACAAATACAAACAAAACAAATAAAAACAAAAACAAACAAAAACAAACAAAAACAAACAAAAACAAACAAAAACAAACAAAAACAAACAAAAACAAACAAAAACAAACAAAAACAAACAAAAACAAACAAAAACAAACAAAAACAAACAAAAACAAACAAAAACAAACAAAAACAAACAAAAACAAACAAAAACAAACAAAAACAAACAAAAACAAACAAAAACAAACAAAAACAAACAAAAACAAACAAAAACAAACAAAAACAAACAAAAACAAACAAAAACAAACAAAAACAAACAAAAACAAACACAAACAAACAAAAACAAACAAAAACAAACAAAAACAAACAAAAACAAACAAAAACAAACAAAAACAAACAAAAACAAACAAAAACAAACAAAAACAAACAAAAACAAACAAAAACAAACAAAAACAAACAAAAACAAACAAAAACAAACAAAAACAAACAAAAACAAACAAAAACAAACAAAAACAAACAAAAACAAACAAAAACAAACAAAAACAAACAAACAAAAACAAACAAAAACAAACAAAAACAAACAAAAACAAACAAAACCAAACAAAAACAAACAAAAACAAACAAAAACAAACAAAAAAAACAAACAAAAACAAACAAAAACAAACAAAAACAAACAAAAACAAACAAAAACAAACAAAAACAAACAAAAACAAACAAAAACAAACAAAAACAAACAAAAACAAACAAAAACAAACAAAAACAAACAAAAACAAATAAAAATAAACAAAAACAAACAAAAACAAACAAAAACAAACAAAAACAAACAAAAACAAACAAAAACAAACAAAAACAAACAAAAACAAACAAAAACAAACAAAAACAAACAAAAACAAACAAAAACAAACAAAAACAAACAAAAACAAACAAAAACAAACAAAAACAAACAAAAACAAACAAAAACAAACAAAAACAAACAAAAACAAACAAAAACAAACAAAAACAAACAAAAACAAACAAAAACAAACAAAAACAAACAAAAACAAACAAAAACAAACAAAAACAAACAAAAACAAACAAAAACAAACAAAAACAAACAAAAACAAACAAAAACAAACAAAAACAAACAAAAACAAACAAAAACAAACAAAAACAAACAAAAACAAACAAAAACAAACAAAAACAAACAAAAACAAACAAAAACAAACAAAAACAAACAAAAACAAACAAAAACAAACAAAAACAAACAAAAACAAACAAAAACAAACAAAAACAAACAAAAACAAACAAAAACAAACAAAAACAAACAAAAACAAACAAAAACAAACAAAAACAAACAAAAACAAACAAAAACAAACAAAAACAAACAAAAACAAACAAAAACAAACAAAAACAAACAAAAACAAACAAACAAAAACAAACAAAAACAAACAAAAACAAACAAAAACAAACAAAAACAAACAAAAACAAACAAAAACAAACAAAAACAAACAAAAACAAACAAAAACTAACAAAAATAAACAAAAATAAACAAAAACAAACAAAAACAAACAAAAACAAACAAAAACAAACAAAAACAAACAAAACCAAACAAAAACAAACAAAAACAAACAAAAACAAACAAAAACAAACAAAAACAAACAAAAACAAACAATTGACTTGTACGTTTTTTCTAACTAATCCCATTTGATATATTTTTATTTATCTTTCTCTGTGAATACTATTTTCTTTAGCATTCAATTGATATTATGTTTTAGTGTCTTTATATACTTAAGCTGTTATAACTTATAAATTCTTTCTTTAAGAGATATGCGAAAATATTTTTAGTCACGAAAATGTATTAAAATTCAGAAATGACCAATCATAATCTTCAACAACAAAACATAATTTTTATTAAATATTTTTTTAAAAAACTTAAATGGGGAAATCGAATCGAATCTGAAATATAATTGGCTGAAATAATTTGAAAATTCGGAAACAAATCCCCCTAAGAATTATTAAGACCATTCCCGGACCCCAAAGGTGAAATTAAATACTTGTAGATTAAAAAAAAACCTTTCGTCACTGGGGGGTCGAACCCAGACATCCATGTGTCGAACATCTGTCCTTACAGTCAATGTCGTTGCAAGTCTAACTGTAAAATTAGTCAAAATTAAAGAATTTACAATAGCTTGTCCAGTAAGAAATACGATCAGTATAGATTAGATTAGATTTAATTAGGACTATGGGCCATGTGGCCTCCCCCACCTCGACCTTTTCAGATCTATTGTGGATATCCTTTAATCATTGTTTAGAGTACCCTGTCTAATGCGGTCTTTTGTAGTAGACTCCATAGACTGGAAAGTAGTTCTCCGGTATAGCTAGTTGCCCTTGGTTTTTCTTCTCCAAGTGTAAGGAATCTCAGTCTTACTAGACCTTCGCAGTAGCACAATACGTGTTCCGCCGTTTCCTCTTCTTCTTGACAGAATCGGCACAAGGCCTCTTCTGTCAGACCGATATTGAACATATATTTGTTAAGCCTACAATGCCCTGTTAATAGACCTACTAGTATTCTAGTATTTTTCCTATTAAGGCTTAGTAGATGCTCGGTGAGTTTAGACGATGGTCCCTTTAAGAACTTTTTGGCCTGTCTCTGTCCTGGTGAGTTTTCCCACCACTCCTGAGATTTTTTTAACATCCACTGCTTTGTGCATGTTCTAATAGTTGTTTTTGTTACACCACAGAAGGGTTCTGGGCCAATAAGAGCATTTGAAGCTCCTTCTCGGGCTAGTAAATCAGCCTCTTCATTGCCTTTGTGTCCCCTGTGGCCTGGTACCCAGGCTAAGGTTAGTCTGTTTTGACTACCCAGCTCTGTTAGGGCTTCCAAACAGTCCCACACAAGCTTTGAGTGTACCTGCATGGAACTGAGTGCTTTTAACGTCGCTTGACTGTCTGAGTATATGACAATGGCTTTTCCATTTACCTTCTGTCTTAATACTTCTTTTGCGCAGTGATGTATTGCTGCTATTTCTGCCTGGAATACTGTCGCATATTTACCTAAGCTCAGTGAGATTCCTGTCTTTGGCTTGGTACTATACATACCTACTCCTGAACCTTCATGGGTTTTGGAGCCGTCTGTATACCAGGTGAGATCTGCATGAATAGGAGGTCCTCCCGTCCACGCTTCCCTGTCTGGTATACTTACTTTATATTGCTTTTGAAAGCTATACTTTGGAAGCATTTCGTCTGAAGGCATTCCCATTATTTGGTCGTTCTCCAACTCTTTATATAGCTCGCTGTAGTGGCGTCCATGCAAACTGCTTATGGGCGATGAACCTTTGTGCAGTCTGTATGTGACAGACCTGGCTTCGCCTTGAATGAATATATGTAGTGGTGTTAGGTTTAGCATGACTTGTATAGCTGCTGTTGGAGTCGTTCTCATAGCTCCCGTGGTACTCAGGCATGCTTGCCTTTGAATACCATTGAGCTGTCGAATGGCTCCAGCTTGCCGAGTCGTTGGCCACCAAACCACCGACCCGTAGGTTATCATCGGCCTTATGACTCTGGTATATAACCATAGGGACATTTTTGGTTGTAATCCCCAATTTTTTCCACACAGCCTTCGACATAAGTTGAAGGACGTTGTGCTCTTTTGGGTGACTTTTTGCAAGTGTTGATTCCATGTTAACCTGTGGTCAAAGATGACTCCCAAGTATTTGGCCTCTTGAGCTCCTTTCAGTACTGGTGACTTTAGTCCTGTTGGTACTTTTCGTTTTGTAAAGTTGACTATTGTGGTTTTGTGAGGGTTTACTGTTAGTTCCTCCTCTCTGCACCACTCGTCGACAATGTTTAGAGCGGTTTGTGTGCGCTCCGATATTGTACCTGCGAACTTGCCTCTTACGACGATCGCCAGGTCATCGGCATACCCTAGGCAGTAAAAATCTGCAGATATTAGCCTTTTTATCTTATTTAGTTCATCCACTAGGACTGACCAGAGAAGGGGTGATAGTACTCCTCCCTGGGGGCAGCCCCTGCCTGCTTTAGCTGTCAATGTAGCTTCGCCTAGAGATGATGTTATTACCCTTTTTTCTAGGCTGGCTTTTATCCACTGACATAGGACTACTGGTACCCCTTTTATTGGTAATGCGTTAATTATAGATCTTGTTTGATCATTACTAAAAGCTCCCTCAATATCTACGAAAGTTGCTACGATCAGTATAACATGTGACTCTCTGTTTCAGAATAAGAAAAAGAAGAAGAGGGAGAAGAAGAAGAAGAAGAAGAAGAAGAAGAAGAAGAAGAAGAAGGAGGAGAAGAAGAAGAACATAATTGTTAATTTGAATTATTCGTACTATAAATTTGACTCTTTGCTCAATGCTTTGGAACCTGAAGAAGAGCACTGCATGTACCACTATTTTGTGTACCTTTTTTCCGCTTATGTGCCCGATCGACGAATACAGAAATATTAAGGTAAGCTGTCAAATACGTTATTTATCAATTTCATTTATTTCCTTTATATTGTTTAAATAAAGAATCAGCCCTTTCGATAGTCTAAAATCCGTTGTGTCACATTTTTTTGGTCCTTCGAACCGGATTAAAAAAATCTACTAAAGGAGCGTAGATGCCACCAAACCAATTATTTTCAGTAAAAATATATCAGATATATGTATAACTTACCTCCCTCGATTGTAATTAGTTTATCGCTACCAAAACCAGCATTAACGAAACCGTTCACAAACGACGATGCCAAATTTTGTCTTGCGCTATTTAAATTTTCACCTAGTATAGTAATTCGGGGTGGTACCGGTTCTAACCATGTTTTGTACACGTCTTGAGGAGCTTTCGGTTCCAATACATCTAACTAAAAAATGAATCTTAATTAGTGTAAGCATACATCTCCGTCATTTTAATTTCGCGCTTATGTTGTTTGTCAATATCGGAAGCTGTCATTTGTCAATGTCGGAAGTTAAGTCAATTGTCGGAAGTGACTTACGATTTTATGGTTGACAAGAAAAGATTGTAATAAAATGAGAAATAAAAGTGTTTCTAACTTATTATATTAGAAAATAATTTAATATTGAATAAAAAAAGGCTTACCTCTCTGGCTAACGTCAAAAAATAATTACTTAAATGACTGTTGCTTAATATGGAGTTAATTTGGTCGTAATATTGATGGTCGGAATCTAAGTCGACGACATAGTTGTGACGGGCACAAATGAAGGATAACTGATACAGTACAATCCTAAAAAATAGTTACCTATAGGTGGAGTTGTACTTAAAAATAATATGAAATGTTTCTAGTTAAGATTACAGTAATTATCACAATTATGCCATTCGCCGATTTATAAAAAAAATTAATGAAAACTACCTATATAGGGTGAATTGATACTTTTTTAAATAACTTTTTCAAAAATAAATAGGAAATAGGAAACTTACATTAAATTATTCCAAAATGTATCCAATACGGTCATGTATAATTATTAAGTAACTTTATTTTTAATACCCAAGTCCAAGCTCGGATTTAAATCTTTTAATTCTGTCTTTCTTATTTTTGAGTTTTCTTATAAAAAGTTATTTAAAAAAGATGTTTATTTTGAGGACTTCTATATACAGTTATTTACGTCTGGAGAATAAAATTCTTCAAACAAAAGTTATTTCTAATATTATTCTCTATAATATTTGTTCTAACAAAATTTTTCTAAAATGGTCCCTATTCGAGATATTTGAGAAAAAGTGTAAATTTAGAACTTTGAAGAAAAATTAAAAACGGAAAAAGAGAAAAACACCAAACAAATTTTAAACTTAAGCTTTATTCTGACCTGAGGCGAACTGACTAGATTTTGGGCAGATTCGGAACATCTGGGAGGGTACTTTATGGAAGGTCGTTTTTCTACTTTATGGAATATATCAGTTATTTACGCTTGGAGAAGAAAATTCTTTAAATAAAAGTTGCTTGAAATGTTATTCTCTATAATTTTTATTATATACATGATTTTTCTAAAATGGTCCGTATTCGAGAAATTTGACAAAATGTTCAAAATTTTTAACAAAATTGTTAAACTAAAAGTTGTTTGAGATATCGATCTCTATAATTTTTGTTTTATACATAATTTTTCTAAAATGGACCGTAATGGAAAAATTTGAGGAAAAGTGTTAAATTAAAATTTTTCAGTATCTTCGTTGGCAATGAATATATAGGGGTGGCCCAAAAAAAACGAATATTTTTTTTATTTAAGTCTCATATGAAAATATTCGCTCTTTTTGGGCCACAATAAATTATATGCACATCAAATTATTTAGCTTGTAGGTTTAATCAACTATTTCAAAAAATAACTTAAAATTAAAAAAGGAACGAAAAAAATAACAAAATATTCTAACGATGTCACTGGCCACGCAACTTGGTTTATTTCGACCAATTCACCTATTCAGGAAAATAATAAAGTATTGTCTAAAAACTCCCTCACTTCCCAACTAATAACGCCCGGATTTTGATTTTTTAATTCTGTAACACTTTTTTTCTTGCATGACCACCTAGTTCAACAGACTTAAATCCCGTTGATTTTTTCTAATTTTGAGTTTTTTTGAAAGTTTATTTTAATTACTTCTATATACAGTAAAAAAGAATAGATAACAACTTAGGAATCGCCCTTAATAAATAGACAGTACGAGAGTTCTGTGTAGACTTTGTTACTGTTTCGCAACGCCACTTCAGGAACAGCCCAACATAGGGCGCGGCCATTTTGAACCCTGTGACACAGTTTACAGCTAAAGAATCAGATCGCTCACTCTGCGTCGGCACTTTTGATCTCAATGTTTCAGTTTATACACTGTGCAAGGGAAGGGAAAAGACTTGAGGAGAACTTATTTATTTAATATAAAAATATATACACAATTCACAAAATTATAATGTCAATTCAATTATATAAGTCATAGCTTTTTTAAACCAAGGTTACTCAAAACGAAAATAAAGTACATCAACAATACGGAGTACCAGTAACTTGAGTGACTAATACTCAATTCCCAATAATTCCAATTATGTCAGGAAGAGGAGGAAACTGAAGTAAACGTACTGTGTTACGGCGAAGGAGCGAAGCTCTATGAAGACTACGATTTCTTACAGTTGGTGAAGAAAAGCCAGAAGCCATTAGTAAACTGGAGATCTACTTCCAACCAATGATCAAAGCCCATAGTCCTAACCGAATATAATCTAGGAGATCAAAGTTTTCAGACTTTAAAACTTTTTACGATTAAAAAAAATAATCTAAAACGCATAGGTACTTTAAAATATTCTAATGATGACTCTCTGCTCTTTAGACTGATACAAAAATCTCTAATTTTTTATAGCTTCACCTTATAAAATCGTTCGTAAACAGGAAAGGGTTAGAGCTATAAAAAATAAACTACGAGAAGAAAATGGAGAAGATCTACTACAAAATGAGTTTAAAAAATTTGATAATTACAGTAATCTGCAACAATAGAAACTAGAAACGTGTTTATGCTATTAATTACTTATCACTGCAGGTGGAAAAAATCTTGTTCACCAAATCGCTATCATCAACTTGAATGGCGGTTATCAAGGCTTTGGCATATTCCTCAAACCGTGCGTACTGTTCGCGTACTAATTTCATAATTTTAGCCCGTTCCACGTCATCTACATATTTGGAACACGAATGGAGGTACATGCACATTCTCTGGTAGTTGTTCTTCGCCATGTATTCGGGCAAATCGTTCAAGAGATCGATTTCCATGAGCAGATCGCAACCTTAAATCATTTTGTCACACTTAATGAGTGTATCGATTTGTTTTACAATAACCAAATATGTCTGAGCTTTTATTTATTAACAAATTGTCCTATCAGAACATTAAATTTAACTGTTAATAATAATAATAGATATTTTTCCTACAAATTTAATTAAAATAAAATAGAAGCTCAAAAAATTATTTTACTATTATTTTCTAGAATTTTAATTTCTTCAGCCTGTTTTATGTTTGTTATTTCTTGGGTAAGTACTTAGATAGGCTATATGTTATATTTTTGTTAGTTTTGCAACATTCTCAATATGTCACATTATATTGTTCGCTAGTGAGTAATTGCAACTAGCCGTTAATTAGCCATTTTTGTAATAAATATTTATGTAATACATCAGTGGCGTGCGGTGACATTTTTGGAAGGGGAAGCGATTGTATCAAAATACAGCAGGCCAGTAAGCACAGCGCCTAGTTTAGTACTAGAAGCTATAAAAAACTTACCATTGAAAAGCTTCCTTGGTTTATTTAAACGTAAAAAAAACATTTAACTGTAGTTTTTTTATTTTTTTTAGCATTTTTTACACAGTAGTTAACATTTATTTATACTTAAGATCTATTCGCCTATCCTCAATGGCTGCAAATTTGTCTATAACATCGTCGTAAAATTTTGGATTTTCTGATAACTGTTTAACAAGCTGTTTTTCAATGGACATTAGGGGTAAATTAAAGAGTCTGTCTTCACTTGTTGAATTTCGTATAAAACTTTTAATGCGCTTTAAAGCTGAGAAACTTCGCTCAACTGACGCACTTGTGGCTGGGATGGTTAGTACTAATTCACACAACTTGACGACTTCACAAAGGGACTTATTTAAACCAGTTGTTATAAGAAAATTTAACACATTGATATGCGTATTTTTATCACTAATTTCAGTTGTTTCATAAACAACACTTAACTGGGACTTTAATGCTGGAATATCGAAAAAAATTCCATAATTTAATTTTAGTGAATTAAAAGATTCCGATGGAAATTTTGATGAATCGTAGTTACTAATATTAAAATTGCACAAATCAATAAATTTTAATTCGTTAAAGTTTTAAAATCGAGAGTTCATTTGTGGTAAAATATTATCAAAAATGTCGGCGTATAATCGACGATAGGAGGTCTCTCTGTCGCCGACATTATCAATTCTAATTCTCTTTCTTTCAGGTTCTAAGCCAATGTTTTGAGTCTTATTCCAAAAGTGTTCAAACTGATCTCGTTTTTTATTCATTTTATTTTTAAAATCATCAATTTGTTTAATGCGAAAGCCAATGTCATTTGATTTTGTAAAGTGTCGAATAAAATGTCAGTAAAAGGGAAAATCTCTGCAAAAATATTGAGCAATAAATTGAAATCAAAGTTTTGTTTTAGCCAATGCAAATACCCATTACGGCAGCACCTCTAGGCAACAAGCTTAGAACCACATTCTAAACTTGAAATATTGTCACAATTTTAAACAATGCATCTGCAGTTCGTTCGCTAGTGACGTCCAATAATCCTAAGAATCGCTCTTGAGGAATGCCATCCAATACATCTCTTCAAAAGTTCTACTTGAAAATCCTTTTTTCACTAAAGAGCACACAATACAGAAACAATTTACCACATTATTATTGTTCACAGGCACAGTGCATGGTTCCTCCATTTTATAAAAAGAAAAACAACTACGAAAATTAAACCGAAATCTACCTGAAATCTACGATTTTCCTCACACGTCGATTCGCGGTGCAAAAGCAATATGCGTAAGGCGACGTAACAATCGCTACCTCTCGACCATATTTCACGTTTCCAAACAGACTGACTACTGTCGCGGCAAAGCAGGGTCAATAACACGAAGCGAAACCACTTGGAAGATGAACCGGCTATTTCAAGACGCGCTTCCGCCGACGAACTCGAAGTATATGGTGTGTGCGTTTACACAATTAATTTTCTTATGGGTGGTGCGTACGTTTACACATTACACCAATGAATTGTTAGTACATTTACGAAGTTTACGTAATGTTTCAGAGAAAATATAGTACCTAATTTAATATTAATTTCTATGCACTGTAAACTGAAAAATATTTATTTTTAAATCTCAAAGTGTTGGAAAGCGGTCCTTCCCCGCTTCCATGGACCGCACGCCCCTGAATACATATTTCTGTAATACCTATTTCTGTATTAAAGTAAATATTTCTATAATAAAGTAAATATTTCTGTAATAAAATAAATATTTCTGTAATAAAATAAATATTTTCTGTAATAAATAAATATTTCTGTAATAAATGAATTTTTATGTATGAATCAGATAAAAAGATAACCTTGGATTTCAGCATGATGTGTCGAATTAAAAATCATAATGTCCTTGATAAGGGGCATAAGCTGTTGTGTGCTTTTTTCGCAATTAAAATTCCATTGTTGAGCGATTTCTTTTTCCAATTGTCTAATGTATTCGTGGCCCCAATCGCTGATATTCTTCATCGTGCCTAAAATATATTTAGAAATCTTCCTAGATATCATCGGAAAATATAAATGTATTGACAGCTGTAAAATATGTACGTTTGAATGTAGGATGTGTTAGATAACGATAAACCTAGACACTAAACAAAGATATAAAATAATATGACGCTGACTGTGACGACCGCTGAACGGAGAGACTCGCAACAGTTAAGCAGTGATCTCTACGGTCACGTCGTGAATGCATACCCAAGTAACATTTTTAAGAGAATAAAGTTTTATTTATGTTTTATTAAGATCTTGTAAAAGCATAAAAATTAACAATTATTTTATTACAGTTATTTAGGATAAATTGATCTTATTACTTGGTTTTATAGATTCCTTTAAATCTGTTTAAGAAAACTAGTTTATCCTAAAGTAAACTATGCTTTATTGCTGTCCTGTATGGGTTAATTAATAAGTAATTTTAAAACTATTTAGTTTTAAGATATTCCTAAGGTGTGTTTGGTGTTAAAGAGGTATACTTTTTAGCAGTTATCTTAAGTAGGTTTAAAAACTGTTTTAGGATTATACTTTAATTTAAATTGATCCCAGAACCTTTTAGGTACCTTTTCTACAATTTTACAACATAACTCTTATGATTTATTTAATCTAGTAAACCATAGGGCTCTTTTAAAACTACATAGTTTTAATAAGAACTAAAGTTTGTTTTAGAGCATAACCTAGCTTTTTAATCCACTCACATTATGTTGACGTTGAAAGATAAATTGTTCAAAATAAAGAAAAGTGGTAATTTCCATGGAGAATGAAAAAAAAATGTATATGTTTCTCCTTCTCAAAACATTCCTACGCTCCTAATATTCTGGAAATAATCAGTAAAAGAGAAAAATGGTTAATATATTATTACTAATTTTTATATTATTTTTATATTTTGAATGACTTGTTCGTAGAGTAAATAAGAAGCTCAAGAGTGAGGTTTGGTTATGCCCATCTGATTGAACCTATGAATGTTGTATTGAGGTTTTCCTTTTTACTATTGTTTTATGAAACGCTTTAAAAAGTGTAGCAGGAGCTTTTTAAAACTGGAAAGTCCTAAAAAGTGTTTTTTTTGCTTTATTAGTTTTATAAGCTAATGTCCATTTTTAGGTACAGATAGAACACAATGAGTAAATCCTCCATTTTAAATATGACAGTGGCTGTTTAACCACATATCATGTAAAATAGGTCTACCAGACCTGTACCTAAAGGATATTCGATTTTAGTAATGACGTACTTTGTGTACCAAAGACAGTGATAGTGTGTCAATAACAACAGTGTGTCAATGACAACAGTGTGCCAATGACAACATTGTGCCAATGACAACATTGTGCCAATGACAACATTGTGCCAATGACAACATTGTGCCAATGACAACATTGTGCCAATGAAAGTAGATTTATTATTTATGATTGCGTTTACTGCGTTTAACCACATAATGTCAAATTTGTCAAATATATCTACAGTTCTACAATTCATTTTAGGGTATATAAATGTAATTTATATTGGAATATACTATGATATATTGTTATACAACTCTTGCCTCGCCTTAAGTAATTTATGTTTAAACACAAATTTTGTTGTTTGTTTCCAGTAGGTAGTACGCACAATTGAAAATGGTTTTCTGACGATGACAAGTATCCATGCAAAGACAAATTTACAATAGAATTTATATTAGCGGTTAAATAGTCACTTCCATGAAATAATTTAAAAAATACAAAATGTGATGTTTTATATGAAAGACATATCGAAGACATATGTAATCATTTTATAGTGCTATATATTCGATATTTACAATGTTATTTTCTATTAAATAACTTTCGGTAAATAGATTAGAATCCGTATACTAATCCTTTTTCAGGTATATTTATTAAAATATTTATTGTAAGGCCCATCATTTATTACGACCCACCTTGCCCACTTTTAACAGTACTTTGGTGTGTATTTGAAAATTAAAGAAATGACAAGTGTAACTAAACAAATTAAACATACACTATATAATGATTAATTTCTAATATGGCAGTCTTCCCAACATGTTTGCAAAATCATTCTGTCAGAGAGTATGCTAAAACATAATGAAGCTAAAACATTTTAAAATTTAATTCTCTTAAAACTGATTAGTTTTGTAAAGTTTTTATGCCTATCCCACTTATCATAATCAAGATTTAAAAATGGTTCTTAATATACTCTTACAGACTTTGTCTTAAGCCTAATTAGTCTTAAGATATTGTTTTAAAAATACTCATAAGAACCGTTGTAAGATTCTCCCTTTTACTCTTAAAGCAGATTTATAGTAGCCCTAAGGCTATCTTATATACTTTGATAAATCTAAAAATGTTACTTGTGTGACCACTGGGACGTTGCACCATAGGCTGTGTCACCATAGGATTTAGTCACTAGCGTGGAATGAATTACAGTGAATGAGGAAGTGAATTGCTGAATGGAAAAGTAGTGGAATTTTGAAATGGTGGTACAATCAGCCGCAAGCTGCAGTGCTGCCAGGCTACGACGGATTAGGGTGTCCGAAGGATGTGGCGCAGCTGTACTTTTTTCTAATAAAAATTTTTGTAGAATATTTTCTCACCCATGAGACAGTATCTCAAACAGTCCCGATTCTTTTTGGCTTCTTCGCCGCCTGCTGTTCCCATCGCCAGTAAAGAAATCACATCAGCGAGACTTTTTTTGGTTGCGTCGTTTGGCATCTTTTCGTGCGTTAGTTTCAATTGATCGTAATAGGGTGCCAAATATTTGAGCGGTTTGGGAACGGATGTCATCGAAGTTGTAGAAGTTTTTATTAAATACTTCATCATTTCAAGGGCCGATGGTATAAGCCCCGGATCAGTACCCTTGAAAACGAATTTAATTTAAATATCGTTAAAATGGTCTGCCAATAATAGAACAGTCTATATATCTACTTGATTATTGATGTCTATATATTATCTACCTACAATACGAGACAAAGAGTAACTTTTATATCTACTTTTATTTTTGTTCAAATTACTCGGACAACGAAGTTTCAATTTTCAGGTATCAACAGTATTAAATTTTATACAAAAAAAATGTAAACTAGACGATAAACGAAAAAATTTCAAGAAATCTGTCAAATAATTAAAATTAACAAGAATTGAAATTCATAAACTTCTTGACTCAATAAATAATAAGAAAAATATTAAGCAAAAACAAACAGAAAAGTTAAAATGTAAAAGAAAGTTAAATTTTAAAACTAATTAAAGTTTTTCTACACCCATATGGATATTATCTATTCTACGCACAGACTACTGAACGAAAAAGTAGGTCATTGCGTTCTACTAAACGAATATAGTTCATATTCATTCTAGTAATGACACTGCACGGATATGAAATGAACCAATCACAGTTCATTTGATGATAAGTGACAATTCTGTCAAACTAATTGTCAGTATGTTTTACATTATATTATTATTGTGAAGAATCGATAAATAATAGCATTCCATAAGATATATTCATCTATATTTACAAAAAAAATCGTAAATTTTCATAAAACTATCTAAAAATTACCTTAATTATAAGAATTAAAGAAGAAAAATAACTTTTTTTATTATCGCAGAGGCATAGAGTACTGACTTACCATGCGGGAAGGTCTGTGATTCAAATCCAGAAGTGAATTATTATTATTATTATTATTATTATTATTAACTCTAATTGAAATCTTTTTTTTTTTCAAGTTTATTTTATTTTGTAAATGAATAAAAGTCATAAAATAGTTATTTAATTTTAACAACCTCTAAATTATTTTTTCAAATTTGTAGATTTTCGTTAGTGGGTCGTAGAAAAAATATACTGTATAATTTGAATAGATTGTCCGAATCGCACTTTTTACGGTAATATACCCATCATATTCACTCTTGTTACACAAACTATTATTTTTTCTACATTTTAGTTTTATATATCATACTATACTGCCAGTATGAGAAAAAATTTAGGATATCATATATATTTTACACATGTTAAAATCAATTTAAAGTATTATATAATGTGTACATATATTAGAGTGATTATTTATGTTTATTTGCCATTGTATTGTAATTTTTTGTTGTATATTATAGTTTTTTTTTTTTAGAAAAATAAACATTATTATACTATATTTACACATGAACCCAAAGATCGATAGCACAGATTAGGTAGTTAAAAAAATGAGAGGTTACATTACCGTTTATTTTTTATAAATTACTCAACTCGACTACGTCTCGCATGGCAAACTTTTTGCAATCTTTCTAAAAACTCATATTTTTATCTCTTACAAAAAAACTAATATTTTTACCACCCTGTAAATCAAAAATTAGTCATAGGATGAAGCCGTTGGTAATTTTAAATTTATTAATCTAAATTCAGATAATTTGACGACACTGAGTTTTGTATTTAAAAAGACCAGGGCCCTCTGGCTGAGTGGTCTTTTCGAAATATATAAATTATTTACTTAAATTATATCATTTTGTAAAAATCTGAAGAGTTAATATGAGATTTGCTACCTCTGGATTACTTCAGAGAAGTAACATGGGTCCTAACTTTTTTATTTATTCATAAATGTAAAAATAAAAATTTTCAGAACAAAAAATATATAAAAAAAAAATTCTTTAAATTTGGAAGCTAAGATTCATTAGTAAATATACTTCAATTTATTATAATGTACTCTTACCGTTATTTTTTCCACTAATAATTTTAATTCCGCTTGTAATTCTTTATCTTCTTCAGACTGAAAAATTTATATGTAGTAAAAATTACTTTACTAATTATTTGTCTTTTTAAAGAAGAAATATAAATTTCACCTACGTCTTCCTCGATTTTTCTTGGCACTGCTACTGCCACTGAAGCCATTTTCTAATTTACATTTACCAATGACTTTACAAAGACATGAAGACACCCTATGTCCAAAAGAGTGATGACTAGCACTTTTTTATTGTCACTAAGAAATTACGATATAATATCGTAATTTAGCTTCAAATTGGAATCTGCTTCACTGATCAATTCATTATATAATAAAATTAATGCGTTTTCAATACATTAATGATAATTTTTAAAAAATTTCTACTCTTTTTGAATTCAAATAATAAATTGTCAAATCAGTACTGGCAACCTCATGAAACAAAATAATCCAGATGTCATTTAAAAATATAATGGCTGCGTTCAGCAGACGCGACGCAACAGTTTACTTATTTTCTGCTGAACAGCAACTTTTCTCAACGTTGCGTGAAACAGTTGTCGGATCAGTCGCCATTTTTTGGAGCGCATTTAATTTATGCTATTCTGTTTTTGAGGTTAAGATCAACTTAAAAATAGATTAAAGACGAGGATGCTGATTTAAAACGTGGAAGTTCTTAAGTTATTTGACCTAGACCTCGTTCAAACTTTCAAAGTTCAGGTGACTGCTAAAGAAAAGCAAAGAAAAGCATATGTAGTGAATGAAGGTCCCGTCAATTTTACAATAATATATTATTTAAGATATCATGAAAGGCGACCATTAAAATATTGCCTTCCACTGTGTCATTCAAGCTTTCTTTACAATAGTTGCTTTTGCTATTATACACAATACCCTTTTATATTTTACTTTTTAATTTACACACGATTCACAGATAAAATGGATAAGATATAAAATCATAAATTTGGAGTTTGGAGATTAGTTACATGACTTTTATAAATTTCACTACAGTTTCTTGCTCTCAACGCAAAAAAACACTGTTCAGCAGACTTTAGAACTGTTGGAAATTGATCTGAAACAGATCCCGATTAATTTTTTTCTGCTGAACGTAGCCATGTTACTTTACTACCACAGAAGTTGGAAACGTTGACGTCACAGATTTAATTGACAACTAGTTGTTTAACCCAGTGGTTTAACCCTATAAACTAATAATCTTGAATATTATATTTGCAAAACTGTAGAATAAAATTCCCTAAGAATTCAAATTAAAAAAAATCAAATAAAAATGAATTATTTAAGCAAGTATGAAAGCAATTTATTAACAGAATGGTTAAGTGAAATGCTAAAAAACGAAGGAAAATATTTAGAACCAATACTAGATACAAGATCAACAATTTTAATAAAAGATATTTGTAACATGCTAAAACAGGACATTCACGTTTTCGGTTTTGCTGTAGACACTATAGAGGAATACATTGCACGAAAATCTTCAAGAGGCGAAGAAATAGATGATCCTGCTCTCACGTTAGTGTCCACAATTTTTATTTGTAGCAAATACTTGGGGGATCAAGATTTAAAAATTCCATCTTTAGGAAATATATTGAAAAAAGTAACCGGCCATGTTTATGAACCTAAATTGATTAGATTAAAAGAAATGGAAATACTAACGGTTTTAAATCATAGTCTACCAATTAATAACAACGTAGAGGATTTAAAAGCTTTCGTTACAAAATTTGAAAAAGAAAGTCGCATTAAAGTATCAATATTGCCTATCTGTATAGAAATTCTTGAACTGATGTATTTAACTAGAAAAGAATGGTTTTACTCTTTAAAAAAGTTATATATCATTAGTAATGAGGCAATGAAGGTATTTAAGAAACTTATTACAAGCAGATTTTACTTACCTATAGGTATTTTGATCTACGTTTTCAAAAACACTTCTTATTCTAATACTTTAGATGTTGATAGCATACTAGAAGATTTAGCAAATGGTTCAAAAATCCATAGTGACCATTTAAACGCCTTGGTGTCAAAGATTAATGAAATTATGAATAATTTATAAAATAATTTAAATTGGATAAATTCTTATAATTTTTTTAGACTATTTATTTACCCCAGAAGAGTTTGGATTCTGATGATATTCTAACCCTCTTAAAAAGCTGTTGCAATTGTCCATTCCCATAAATTAAATTTTTGGACTCATTGTAGTTCCTTCAGGGCACATTGACTTCCTCTTTTCAATGTAAATAAAGACAATTTGGTTTTATTAAAATTTTTATTAACAAAAAGTATTAAATACTAAAATTACAATTATTATAACAGCCACTTAACAATATAATAATTTCTTTTTCCTACCCTGAGTAAAGAAATATTATTTTTTAGTCTCTGTACATCTAGATTTATTACCTCGCTAGGATTATTCACTCGTTGCTGGTTAATATAAAATCCTCCAGCTGAAATTATTCTTGTGGCATCCTCTACAAAAAATAAATCATATGTATTAATCTACATACATTTCTTAAAGTATTTTCAATGTCAACTTACGTTTGGTTGGAAAACAACCAACTTTCATGGTTAAATCCAAAATACTCTGGCCAGCTTCTGGAAGTATTTCAACAATAGTGGCACCATGGAATAGTTGAGATACTTCTTTTGGATTCATTTCACCTATAACCACTACATTTCCTTCATAAAGTGCTTCACTAGCTTTTTTAGCTTTTACTAGACCATCTTCTCCATGTACTAACAATGTTACCTAGAAATTCAAAAAAACAGGACAAAATAGAAACTACTGAACTAATATGCTTTATTACCTGTTCTGCTAGTCTCTTCTGAGGCAATCTCAATTCAGGCTTCTCCTTATGTTGTCTCATAAGATCAGAGATGCTGCCTATTGTATCAAATGTGAATAATTTTAAAAATTTTTCAACCTCTGAATCAGGTTGCCGTATCCAGAATTGGTAAAAAGTAAACTCTGAGGTTTTCTTTTCATCAAGCCAAACAGCATTGCCAGCAGATTTGCCAAATTTATCTCCTATTTCTGTGGTTACCAGTGGAAGGGTAAGACCTGGAAGAAGGGTTAATTATTTTGATAGAAAGAAGCAATTTCTCTAAATCAAATTGTAATACAGACAAGAAAATTATTTTTAAGATAAATCTTCTACTAATATATTCTGATTATTAACTTTTATCAAGTTCTGCTAATTTTTACTAACCGTATACAGGCTTATTGCAATCTTTACTGATCAACTCATGGCCTGACATTATATTTCCCATTTGATCATTACCACCAACCTAAAATATTAAAACTAATGTACAATTAATGTTTCTAAGGGCTGATTTCACCGTTGTGTTAAACGGAGATTAAAATGACATTGTTAATGTAAAAAAGTCATTTTAAACTTTGTTTAACACAACAGTGGAATCGGTCCTAAGGTGATTAGTATATTAACCAGAAATTTATATTTAAAAATGTCTATGGTTATTCCTGAAATTACTCATTATGTTAAAACAAACAAATGACATTTTATTACAAAATAAGACTTTGTTAATGAATAGAAAGTTATAATTAATTGTGTTTTATTTAGTCAAGTAGTAGTACACATGGAATTATTATTACTTAAAGTAAAAATATAAATCTGAAATAATTAAAATTGTAAATAGTAATTTACCTGGAAGGAACATTGATAATTCTTAAATAAATGCAGCCAATCATATGCTTGAAATAACTGGTAGCTAAACTCAGTGAAACTCATTCCACTTGCAGACTGAAGCCTACTTTGAACACTACTTCGTGATAGCAATGTTCCCATTCTTAAATGTCTTCCTGCACCACCAATTAATTCTATTGGGCTCATGACTTGATACCAACTTTCATTATTCAATATCCTTGAATAAAAATTTGAATTTAGTTTCAAGTCAAACTGAAAATTACTGAATACCTAACAGGTTTTAGGGATTCATTGTTTTTCCAAAGATATTTTTCATGATTATTAAATATTGTGGTTATATTTTTGACAAGGCCTTGTATATTTTCATTTACAAATGATTTAGCCAGCTGTTCACGTTCTGTACTTCTACCACTGGGGTCGCCTATTTTAGCAGTTGCACCACCTACCTAAAAAACCAAAATGATTACCCACCGTTTTATTCTATTTTTCAGTTTTGTCCAGTACATTTATTTGTCACAATATGAGTTGGGTAATGTTGTAGTTCATTTGTAATTGCTGTGGTGGGAGGTGTTTGTGTGAATGCCTCTTGTTTGTTTTCATTTGCACTGTGATTGCATAGCAGTAGTATTTTATAAACCTTAGAAGCAAATTTCACATACATGAACAAATAATAATAATAATGCCATGACAATAAGATTATTGTATGATTGCATTAACTTACCACGGCAATGGGTTGATGCCCCCCTCTTTGCCAATGCAACAAATTAATTAAAATTAATAAATTTCCTACATGTAAACTATTTGCAGTAGGGTCAAAACCAGCATATACTGTTTGTGGACAAGCATTTAACACATCTGTAACAGTATTCCTAAAAAATAAATAAATATGAAGTAGATACAGGAAATCAAATTAAATTCTTTACTTACGCCGCATTGTCTGGAAAAATATCTTCAAACATGCCGCGTTCTTTTAATTTCAATATATTTCTATTTGAATAATGTCTGTAATAACAGATAACGCCAGTCTTTCCATGGTTTAATACATATTTTATAAACATTTTTAAAATCAAGAAAAGAGGTTATGAAAAATTAAAATTTAAATTAGGTTATACAATGCTGCCAACAAAAGTTTGGTTTCAAAATTTATGAGAGGGTCAATGATATATAGTTGTATAGATTACTCATCAGTAAATAAAGCGGGTTGAAGTTTTCTCTTTATCTAAAATATGCAATTGCAATGTTTATGTTTCGATTTAATTTTGAGTACTCTGCAAAGAGGTCATTTACAGCACAGAACCGGTTTAGAAATTAGTACAAAGTAGGAAAACCCTTAAATACATATTGCTATACTCGGACAAAATATTGAAGGTGATTCCTTCCTGTTCACGTACAACAATCATACTATACCAGATAATAATGAATGGAATTACGCGCTTAAAACTGCAGAAGTTATCGGAATCACGTGCCAACTAGTCATAAATGCATGTTTATTGCCAAAATGAATTACGCCAGTGGCGTATAAAAACTATTGGCAAATTAAATGCGGTAATAGTAAATAATATTATATAAAAGTAGGTTGGTTATCTATTTTTGTAGTAATCATTTATGTTCATAATTTTGTTTTGTTTATTGTTAAAATATGTAAATATTATGCCAGTGGCGTAGAAACACTATTGAAAAATTATACTAAAACAAAATATTGAAAAAGGTGCGCCTTAAAACTGCAAAAGGTATTGTTATCATATCAAAATGCACTCTTCCAGTGTCGCAGAAATACTATATTGGCAAATTAAATAGGTATTTGTGAATATTACTAGATGAAAGTAGGTTGGTTATCTATTTTTGTTATAATAATTCATCTATGTTTATAATTGTATTTTGTTTATTATAAAAATATGTAAATTAAGCTTGGTATCACTTACTTGAATTCTAAATCTATGAAGTATCATAATCCATTGATTCTGCAGAACTATCACTGGAATCGTCTTTATCGTCGGAACTTAAAGTTATGACTAAAGGTTCAACTACCGTTTCGATCATACCGTCCAAGCGCCACATATTATTTTCTTCCTTAATTACATGAGAAATAGCATTCTGCCAATCTTCAGGTTTTATACGTTCTATACCGGTTTTTAATAAACTTTGAACGTCGGCTATTTTAAAAGTTTTATCTTCTAGAGCTACAAACCCTTTCACTTGCGCCCAAATTAGTTCAATAAGATTGAATTCGCAGTGATAATGGGGAAGTCTTAATACCGTAATACCACGATCACGAGCCATTGTGTCGACAACATATTGAATATATTTATGGCAGTGTTCCTTTATTAGGTCCATTAATTCCACTTTAAGCATCTCCTCAGTAAATGTTATTGCTTTATCCCGCAGCCAGGTTATCGGAATTATCGGAATGCGTTCAACTCGTCGACTGTGATAAGAAGCGTTATCTAGTACAATAATTGAATTTCGTTCTACACGCTGTAATACTTCAGTAAACCATTTTTCAAAGCATTCCGCATTTATGTCCTCGTGGTAGTCTCCTGATATAAACTCAAGAGCGCTATTTTCCAATAATCGACTGTCACTTCCGATATAGGTAACAATTAGGCGCTGTCCTTTACCTGATGGTGCTTTCAAACCTGTAGATAATCCCTCTATAAAAACTAGTCATAGTTAAAAAAAGTATCTTGCCATATCTTAGATACCGTGTGTCCAGCATTCACCCACGTTTCGAGATAGTATATCTTTTTTTTAGCGGCTCTAAACTCTTTAATATTTATTTAATATATCTGACCTCTCAATTAAAATTGATTTTCTACACCGTTTGACGAAACGAAAAATTTTTCGTAAAGTTTCACGGCTCATTAATGTAATTTCTTCGTTTTCTCTTAAGTGTTGGGGCTTTTTTTCGAAAAAAAAAAAAAAAAGAATTACAGTTCTTCGAATGATTTGTTTTTGGTTATCGTCCAATTTCAACAATTTTCGACCACGGGTATGCGTTTTAGGGGCTTCTAATGAGCCTTTTTTGGTCTTTTCGCGTATAATACGTTCAATTGTTGAAACAGATACTCCAGTTAAAAAAGAACTGCGGTTTACAGCTTCATTTGTAGGAAGTGTCTGTTTCAGCCCATCATACACTTTCCATATAATGTTCTTTTCATCCTTTGATAAGGGCTTTCGCCGACGTAATTGGGTTTCACTTGGACCCGCCTCTGAATCCATTACTATTGTAACAATATAATTCTACTATTAAATTGTTTTTATTAAATTTATAAAGACACAAATATTTTACTATTTAATAAACTTTTAAAGTGCCTTCCTAATATACTACACAATAAATATAACTCCTCGAATATGCACTACCACTACCAAATTGTAAGGCACAAACATGAACACCTACTCGTATATCAGAAAAGAGCACTTATACAAAAAAGTGTTTATAAAATATAAAATAAAAATAGTTAAAGCGATACAAATCTAACTTCGTCGAAAGTTAGTTTTCAACTGTTTTTGTGCCTGTGCTCACAAAATTCAATCATTAGGGAATATTCATTTCTTGAAAACTATCAAAAACGTATATTTGACGCATCATCTTTGTTTAAATAAAGATATTGATAAACAAATTTAATAAAGTTTACTAACAAATACTTAATAAATAATTATTCGGTATTTGATACGCCGCCTATACTAACTCTGTCGGAATTTTCATTCATAGACAACAGTGTTGATCATGCATATGACTCACCTTCTCCAATATTTTGTCCGAGTATAGTACTAGAAGGGATATAAATATCTTAACCTTTAGCTCCACCTTAGAGGTACTCTGAGAAAACTAATGAACGTGATAATTCATTGAAACTACACTGCAAAAACTAAATTTATTTCTATTTTACTTTGACAACATCTAAATAATTATGCAGGCTTGAAAATTCCACAAAATGACAAGTCAAAATTACCCTAAAGTATTAAGTAAGTACCTACATAAATATTCAAATGACAACACATCGGTATTTTAACTAATAAATAAAAATTAATATTCTTGATTGAAATTATAGTCATCCCCTCGTATTAATGAACCAAATTATAAATTTTACAGGGCCAGATATTATTAATATTTTCCACATGTAGATTTTCGTTAAAAGAAATAAAATATTAAAATAAAGTATACCATACAGGTAATCAAAATGCGAGAATTATTATTATTTCCATCACTGACAAGACATTTTTATAGGTACTTGAAGACTCATTTTAATCAAATACTCCCTAAGTATATAGCAGAAGCTTATAAGGCCATCCTGATGCATAAATTAAGAATGTGTAAAAATTTCCCTGGAAAATTTCTTATTTATTTTTATATATATTAAAATAAATTTTAAAAAAAACAGGTTAGGAATAAAAAAGAATAGTGTTAACTAAAATTATTTAATAAATTAAATAATATAACTAACAACTACAAAAAATCAATATAATAAAATATATTATTTGCATCAACAAAATAAAAAAAACTTCTGCATAACATTATAATCATAAAAAGCTTACAAGACTGGTTCGTAAATACTGATAGTTAATTAGAATACTATATTATATTAAGCATTTCTTTAGTACGTTTTGTGTTTTTTATATTCCAAGAATTCTTAGTCAATAGTAATAAAAAAACATATTTACAAGAAATCGTGATGTGTTTATCAAAAAAATTACGTAAAAAATATATAATACCTAGATATAATTTATCTAGATTCATCAATGAACGCGGCACATTGAAGTAAAATCACACTTGTCTAAACTTTGGAAATAATAGTCTCGAACTAAGCTTAAATCACACAGGTCAGTATCCGGACAGGGCGGCAATCTTACTATGTTTTCTTGGTGCAAGGTAAGAATCTTATCCTCTGAACCACACCTGGAAAACAATTTTTAACATAAAAGGTAAAATAACTTGTTCTAAAGTATTAGATTTTTAACTTAGAAAAAATGTGTCTAAAATTTACTTACCCATAAACAACGAAAGCCACATTTGAACCAAAAGCATCTATAAGGCTTGTTCGCCACTGCCGATCTCCCATACTATCGTAATTCTTGCCAGTCAAATGTTCCGAATCTTTATATAATCCTAAATGTGCTAGCAACTTTAATATCGTTCCGGAATGGGTAAAGTAGGCAATCACTCTTGGAAAACGGTTTTTGCTAAAAAAGAAAATATTGTAAAGGCGATGAATTATGGCACACTAGACAAAAATATAAGTGTAGAACAACAACAACCACGTCATAGGGTTAGAATTGAATACCGGAAAATCTAGAGCTTAAAACAAAGTTAACGAAAAATTAACCATGTGGTCAGTATTCTTGAAGAAAGAATGAAATTCAAAAGCAATACCACACAATTTATTGCTAAAAATACTAAGCTACTAGTTTCGGCCTTATTGTGCTATCTTCAGATGTTAATACAAAAATAAATCCATTATCGTAAAGGAAGAAAATAACAATATTACAAACAGAGGTGAAAGAAATTGTATCTTCTAGAAGTACAGGACATCCAGTGAATACTGACCACGTGTTAGTAAAATCAGTGGATTCCACAGATAGATAGATATTTATTGAAGTACTTAACAAATTACAAAATGTTGTAGCAAGTCAAATGAAAACAAAGATACTAGAACCAAAGAGATATACATTATACCTGCATTTACACAAACTCATAAAGACAAATTGGGTATAAAGAATAAAATGAATTCAAAATAATTTTAAATCGTATATAAATATTCACTTTATGCAACGTGAGTCAACTTTTAGAAGATATATACAATTTCATTCACCTCTTGTAATATTGTTTCAACAATCACTGTAAGTGTATGGTGTATATATGCAACATTCTTATTTTCTTCCTTTCCTATAATGAATTTATTTTTGTAGTATAGGCTTAAAGATGGCCTAATAACTCCGAAACTAATCGCTTAATAAATTATGTGGTATTGCGGTATTGAGTTTCATTCTTTCTTCTTAAAACAAAATACTTCATACAATTTAACAGAGCTCTTTTTTAAATTCTTTAAAAATAAATAAAATAAAACAATCGTTCCCAATGCCCCTAAGAATTTTTCTTCCAATGCATATGAATACGGTGCATGATGTCATCCTCAGTTGCATCAACATTTCCGCTGTTTCACGAATCATATTAGGTAATCCAAATGACGTGACATTTTGACAGTTAAAATGTGTACAAATTAATAATCTTATAGTGGATGTTATTTGTTGCACTTGATTGCATTTGATTTGTTCAGTGTAGCTTAAAATATTTGACACATACATGAGTGTAGCATACACTTTTGACAAATATGACAGTCCGAATACAGTGTCGAGTGTGACACTGGTGCAACAAATAAAATCCATTAATAGATAATCACTAATAAGAACCGTTAAAAAATGACAAGCATTTTTTAACAAATACGTCAGTTGCCCTTATTACCGACCTTGTACAAATAATCAACAAACATCAAGCTTTGAATCCCACGAAATTAAACTCGCATAGCAACAAAAATCGTTAGAACAATAGGTTTTTCTCTCTTAATAATTCAAACCACATCTCTCTATTCATATAAGTCTATTTCCATCACTCTCATTAAAGCAAGCAAATAAAATGTTCAAATGAGTTAGCAAGCAATGTCGTTGTCTCTTCCGCCAAGATCATACAATGTTCTATCGGCCAATAGAAATTTAACACCGTAACTCACGTAACAGTTCAATCTTCAATTTCTTTTTTGCGAGATTCTTGCAACACAATAAGATGTTATAAGCTAACGTGTCATTACAAAATATGTAAACTAATAGCTTAAGTACAGTGTTCACAAATGTTAAAGTTTATATTAAAGTTTATCAAGATTTAAATAAACATGTTAAAGGGGGTACATTTTTAATTTCAACATCAGTGAAGGTACATGCAAAACCCAGAATTCATTTGCTACACGAACCGACCATAACTTATTACAGTCCATTCAGGAAAGAAACCCCGTGCAAGACGTGGAAAGTAAGTACGGAAAATACACTAGCTCGCAACAAGATCCTCAGGGTACTCACTGTGGGCCCCTGCTGGTTAATATTTATAAATGATTTGAAACGTCTTCTTGTCTCACTTGCGTGGAAGTGGAAGTCGTGGGTGGTACCAGGCTGTTAACTAGAACAATGATTTCCCGGGCGCCAGTTTTGATAATGCAGTTTGCTCTGCGACTCTCAAGTACACCTAGAGGGCACTCAAAGTAGCCACAGTGGAGTAAGTAAATTCCAGGCGATCACTTACATACGGGGGCAGTAATTGAAAAAAACAAAATCCACCTAACTCAACCTGAACGGTGTCCATCTCGCTCAACCCAAACGGTGTAATCATCTTGTACCTCCTATCCTAAAAGCGATTCTGGACGAGATAGATAAAAATGGGGTATAGTTAAATGAAACACAGGACGTTTATACAAAATAATATATTTCAAACTGCAACCATGGTGAAGCAATACGAAACCAAAACTGGAATGAAGATATATAATGCTTGGTATTCTATATTATACTCTTTACAGTTTAACAGATCCCCTTAACCCCCATTTTCCATCAAATCAGAATGAGATCAGAATCAATAGGTTTCATCCGCTTATAAAGCTTCCTGAAGATTTCAATTTGATATCGTTTTTTGCTTTCGAGTTAATTTTTTTTTTAATATTTTAACCCCCTTATCACCCAATTTTTATTTATTTATTAATTCCCTTATAGATCTTGATTTTTACCAAACATTTCATGTTGATATCGCTTTTTGTTTTGCTTTATGATTTTTTTTTTAATTTCAACCTCCTTAACCCCCCATTTTTAATCAGCTTTTTTTAGCCGCACTAGTGAAAGGTCTATTGACTCTGGATACCTTGAATGTTGACAAATTAGGTCAGCGAAATAAAAGAATTTTTATAAATACCAACAGGCGTGGACAAAGTATAATTTTCTACTTGCATATAATGGTTATTATTCACACTGGTAAATAATAATCATAATTATATGCTCGTAAAGATAACATTATTGCCTTACAAATCGATTAGATAATAATATTTAATTACATACGTTACCTTTGTAAGAAATTTATCATATCCCTGAACGCCGGACAAGCTTGCTTGTAAGTTATTTCGTGTCCGTATCCATCTTGCCAGTAATATCTCAGATCTTTTGCGTATTCCAAAACTTTAATGTTATCTTGCGACAAAACGGCACACCAAGGTGATTTGCTCTTTTTATTCCAGGCAGTTTCGAAACTGCACATTTCGTATATTAATTTAACGTCATCTAAAAATGTACCAAATTATATTATTCGTTGTTTTTTTTTTTTGTTTTAGAGGAAGAAAGATTTTTAGAAACGACCACCGAAAATGAAAATAAAACTTCACGTTATAGAGAATAATCAGTAGAGTGAATTCAATCAAGATCACGGTTTTCAACAAGGATCCTGTTTTAGATCATTTTTATATATCCGTACAAAGCATTTTATTAAAATGTATAATAGAACACTTTTAAAACTACAATATCTTTGGTCTATCTGAAATATCTGCAATAAAGTTCAAATTTAAAAGATGTGTGATAAAATGTACGTAATGTATAATTATTGTTTATAATTTATCATTAACAGCTTTGAAGGAGGCGTCCAATCTGTGGAGACCACCACTGGAAAGAAAAATAACTTGATAATAACTCAATTTGCAACTGTCTGGATACAACAATAGCAAAAGACTAAGATAAACAGCATTGATAACAACAGCGCATCGCTTGACAACTCGTAAATTGATCCTGGGAAAATAGCGGCGCAATCGGCGGATTTGCAATACTGATTGTTCTCTATGCTGTGTTACAAGTGAAATATTACCTAACTCTAGGATATTTTCTTTCAAATTCAACCTCTTATTAACATCTCTTATGGTTGCTTCCATTTCAGGACCACTTTCAAAAATTCTAACTTCCTGTTGGGCAGCAGGATTCTTTTTTACTTCGAAATTCCACCGATCACATAATTTATAAAACTAAACAAAAAATATATCACTTGTCAATGTAATTTTCATATATTATATGTTGGAATAGTTGAAATAATAATAGTACAGGATACGAAATAAGGTCCACCTTCGCCCATCTGCTTACCGGATGAAAGGTATTTTTTATTAAATAAAATATGTTCATAACTATATCGCTAATGGGTTGCTTAAAAAAATACTGTTAAGGCTATTTTTACTTTGGTTTCAGTATACAGACAAGGAAAGTATAGGAATCATGATAAAAGTTGCATGTGATGTCATTCTCTATAATTCTTCTATACCGTTGGCCGGGATTTTTTTATTTAATTTAATTATTTAAAATTAATTCTGATGCCTTGGTAGGATTCCCCACTCGACCATTCACTGTTGGGTTCTAATTAACAGTCCTAAAGTGGCGCTGGGAACAGTAACAAAGCCTACACAGAACACGAGGCTAATGACCTTAGTAGTCGATGCCGATGACACCAAATTAAAAAAAATAATGTTATACATTATTTTCCTAAAATAAACCGTATTCTAGATATTTGAAGGAAAGTTCAAATTTAGAATTTTGAAGATAACGAACAAAGAAAAAAACAGCACATTTTAAACTTGAGCTTTAATCCATCCTGCGGTCAGCTGATTAAATTTTGGACATAGTAGAAGCATCTGGGGGATACTTTATAGGGTATTGTTTTTTACTTTAAGGAAATACATAGTCTTGACAACCCATTTGCGGTATATTTGTAAACATATTTTATTCAATAAAAAATAACTTTCATCCGGTAAGCAGATGGGCGAAGGTCAACCTTACTTCGTATCTTAGACTAGAGCATATATGCCATAGAAATAATATAGAAGACCAATATAAATATAACATCCAAGCAGAAATTGAAACCTACTGTGCATAAAAACGCGTCTCTGCGCCTGACATCTCAAAATAGTGTGTCTAGAAGCTTGCGCAGTATGCATGACTTGTCCCTGTAGTGTTGCCAAGTATATTAAACATACCTAACACAAAAGAATTTTAAATTAATTTATTTTTAAATTACATGATTTAATCAGTTTATATCTACGAAATATCGCCCCAAAATAATTTATAAACATTTAAATAATCAACTATAATAGTAGTAATATTTATGTGTAATTACATTCCCAAAAATATATACAAATACGGTATTAATGTACAACAAGCGATTCACCTACAAATTCAATATTGACCTGGCAACACCACTTTAATCCGGTGTTTCAAGGCTCTATGACGGTGCCGTTACAGGACCGTTTGTGATATTTTGGCTTCAATTTGTATTTTATTATTTAATTACACGACATTTTATTTTTAGTTTCGTGTAGTGTTAAGTTAAATCCTAGGTACAATAAAAGACATTTTTACATTGGCTAATGAAAATGTAATCAATGTATTTAGCAGCTGTTATATTTATTACAAGATTTATGTCTAGAAATTCAAACCTACCTAAGAATTATAATTATGTAAATAGAGAGCTGTATATTTATATACAGGCTGTCCAGCGACGGGGAGACGTTATCGGTATCTGACAAAATAATGAATGATTTTTTGTTAAAAATAGTAAACAGGCTATGATCTTTCCATCTAAAATATTTTGACAGTTCTGTTTTTTCCTTTTTATTTTAAATGAGATGCCACTTCTATTATTTCTGATAGCGATGGAACATGAAATGTTACTTATTTGGAATATATACCTTTACACAACGCTCATGACGTCAGAGACAGTTTCAGTCGGGTATAATTTAAAATAAAGAATTTTAAAACGAATCGTATTAATTTGTACCTGTACCTAACATTTATGGCATCACTAGCCGAGTTGGCATCGGGTATATTTTCAAATGTAGAAACTGAAAATTAACCCTATTAAATTGTATACTTTTAAATGCGGGTTTCAAGGCATTTTAAAATATAAACTCGATCTCAACGAACTTAGAAACTTATGTCACTCGATATTTTAATCGTTACTTCCTCTTCGCTTTTTGGCCGGCACAACAATTATTTACATTTCTTCATTCTTTACCGTGTGCGAACCAGTACGGTTTAAAGAAATTTTAAAAAACCTACTTTAAAAATGAAGATGTTAATGATTTTCTCATGGATCCCATCTTCAGATCCTGACTTAATTTATGTAGTATTATTCATTTTCTAACAAAAAGAGAATCATAGAAACCGGGCAACGTGGTAAAGAATTATCGCTCAACATACATAAAAAAATATTTCAACGAATTGAGAATATCCTCCCATTTTAAAGTATGTTAAAAAAAATTGTTAATAAAGTGCAAAGTAGGGTGATAATATATATTATGAAGAATATAAAATGATAGATAAAGCCAGTGTAGAAAGTATTATAAATAAACTGTGGAAATATCGAGAATCTCGATTTTGAATCGGAAGAAGAGTATTCTATGCAATTTAGAATGAAAAATGATCAAAATGAAACAAATGAAAGCTAATTTTATTGACAACTTTCTTCAAACATTTTCTAGTTTTCCGAAAACTAACTGGATAGTTCGAAAATCATTTCCGCCGTTAAAGCGCCTCTTGTTCCGAAAAAGATACACGCCTGTCAACATTCATCGTTCAACAAAAAAAGTATTAGATACAAAACGCTTCGTATTGTAAGGCCAAAATATATTTGGAAATCAAAAAAGTCATATTAACAAAAAAATCATTATAGTGAGATAACTACCAAATTAATGATTTACAAGTTTATTCTTATTATCTATAAAATAGGTTTGCAATGTGCTGATGTGGAATGTTATCATCGACTAAAAACTTTAAATCTTTGTATTAAATTGGTATAGACTATACAGAATGTTTCTAATAAGCAGCGACTAACTTTTATTATGAAAACGAAAGACCCTTTTAAAAGGGTTTAAAATTAAAATAAAATATGTACCAAGTACCAAGTAAATGTAGTAGTATTTTTTAATTTTGAATCTTGAGAGATGCAGACATATTTGGATACTTTATATTGAAAATGGTAACATGAAAGGTTTTTTGTCTAATTGTAAGTAACGACTCACAGTCTTGGCTGACAAAATATAAAAAAATATCGAACATAATATTCCTGGGCGAAACGCACCTGCCCCCTATTTTGCACTACTCAAATTAAATTTACTTGTAGCAAATGATACTAAATCAAATAAGATCTCGTGACTGCAGCACTAATGATTTCTGTAAATTAACCAATTCATTTTTCATGCCATATTTTTCTTTCAAAAACATATTTATCCTACTTGAATTTTTTTCATCGTTTTTTATATAAAAATGTATGAATAAAACATGGTTTGAACTATTTGTTCGATCAATAAAAAACTTGCACCGGTCCTGTTCGAGCCAGCACCGTTATACGCATGAGCTCCGACACACTATTTTCTCCTTAGGGTTTCAGTTTTGATATATGGAATCGGCTTTCTATACTATTTCTATGATATATGCAGATTTTTGATATTTAATAAGTATTGAATAACTTTAATTTAAATAATTTTAAACAAAATAAGAAAAATCCCATTTTGTATTAACTAAAATTTTCAGAAATTTCAATCATTATAGCTCAAATTTTAAGCATTAAAATTGTATACAAAAAAAAAACAAGTCGGCTTAGTTATTTGTGTTCTTTTCAAATATGGAAACTAATTTTCATAATTTTAATATACAGAATTTAGAAATAATGTAAAAAATGAACTATAGATACAAAAACTAAATTTAAGGCGAAAATATTAGTATACAGCGTCTTCATTTCAAAACTTACCACCCTTAATATCCTTCCAGTTAAATTTATGAAAAATTGGAAAGACACATCAATGAACATTTTTAGCTCAATTTTTAGAATTTAGAAGGGGTATATGTTACCCTTAGAATCCTAAATGGGAAAGGGGATTGAGTGGCACATAATAAGCTGTTACGTATTGTAAAGTGTGACACTTAATTTTATTAGTAATTTAATTCACAATATAATAAAACCTGTTTTAATGAAACAAAACCTTTAATCATTTAAAAATCGTGCAATTTCTAACATTAAGAAATACAAACTTTAATCGAAATCAACTAAAATAACAAATTTATACTACATTAAATTACTAATAAAATTAGCTTTCAAATGAAGTGTCACACTTTACAATACCTATGTAACATTTTTTATCCCGCTAGAGGGCGCTAAAATCAAAAGTAACGCAATGAATATCACTGAATTCTCGATAAAATCCAATTGACCCCTTTCCCATTTAAGATTCTAACATCTACTTTTCCTAGAGGGTTCAACTACAAAACTATTAATTGACGAGTCTTTCCGATTTATCATATTATTTACTGGAAGGAAAATATTAAGGCTGGAAGTTTTTCAATGAACCCTGTATATGAAGTTAAATAAGCGAAAATAAAATTGAGTTATTCATGTAAAATTTTCCAAGATATGCTTTCAACGATCATTGTCAAGCCCCTAATAGAAAAGTGGAAAAATGCAGAAAATATTAGTATATATACAGGGTAAGCCACGAGTTTACAAGCTCTTACTATTTATCATGTATATTTCTCCGGTTATTGTTTTGTAACCTAGGCGAATTCTATTTATTAGATTATCCAAATTAGCCAGATACACTTGATATACAAAGTTCCTTAAATATCCCCAAAAGAAAAATCAAACGGCGTCAAGTCTGGTGAACCTGCAGGACAAAGAATGGGACCGCCTTTTTCAATCCATTCATTCGGATGCAGCCTGTTTAAGTAATTTGTCTCAATTTGTGTGAATGCTGCCAAACTAGGGCTTAACTTTCATTTAAAGGAATATCTTCCATTAACCAGTCAGCTGATTTTGCAAGTTATTTATTATTTCTTGATTAACAAAAAGTTGCATTTAAAAATTTCATTTTCATTTTAAAACCAAAGTTGACCTTTAAATGACCTTGAAAGTCACGAATAAGCAAAAATCAAAATACGACATTTTGTAGACTTGTAAAATTTTCTGCTAAATATATAGAGCCCTAGTTAAAGTTTGTAAACTAAAAGTTGGGACGCCTTGCATATATACTGAGTTAAAAATATGTTTATTGGTAGACAATGGTGGGCTTCTTTTAGGAACTACCTATCTTAAAAAAATATTACATGAAGAACCCTTCTTAAATGTTGTTTTTTTACTTTGTTAATGTTTTTTTAAGTATTTATTGATTTTTTGATAAATGTGTACCAAATAACAAAATATAAAGGATGAATCGTTAGCTATGACCTAATCAAATGGTAAACTGGCCAAAACATCCAATAAAACACCTGAGCAACTAAAACACACAAAAAATATACTTACTCGCAAAATTGGATCTTTTTTCAAAGGATCAGGGAACCAAACATCTTTGGCCGTCGCCTTTCCGAATAATCCAGCCGTAAAGTAATATGCACTCTTTTGTGTCCTTTGTGAATGTGTGTACTTGAACTAAAATCAAAATAGAAACATCTATTTTGTAGAAATTTTCTTGTAAAGGGTTACAGAACGTTGTTAGGAAAATTTAATGGTAGATTCTACATTTAGAAATATGAAAACAATAATTATATAAACATGGGTCCGGAAAAGCTGTCAAAAACCAGTAGCGTAGTTTTTTCGCTAAACATAAAGGCTTGTCGGCACGAAAGCCACTGATGTAAGGCTTTAAAAATAAATTTTGCACATGTAAATGTTACCTTTCATAATATATTTGCGTGTACCAAAACCTATTTCAATATCTCCATGGGTTATCAATAAATTTAAGATAAACTGTTAAAGACGGAGGATTTTCGGACCCTTGTTTATATGAACTTTTTTTTCATATTTTTAGATGTTGAATTTGCCATTAAATTTTCTTCACAACATTTTGTACCACCCTGTATAATTAGACATTTTCTTTAAGTAAATTGTTGTAAAAAAAATGGCGTCGACATATACGAGGGAAGTAGTAAAGTTTTCTCTCTAACAATTAATCAAAAGGCTTTCCAGCTGAAGATTGTGTACGGTCCCCTTTTGGAGGCGAAGAACCCCTATGGACCCATTGCATAGATTCTAATTTTGTTTCTGTTTACCAGTAATGTACACAAGTTTTATGGTCTGTCACTATTTTAGAGAAAAAGACAATCGGCATCCAATGATTCCAAATCATTTTCTACCTAAGTTTATTTTTTTTGCACACCACTAATGAACGATTTGAAATTAAATTTGACGTTAATGTAGAAAAAAGATTGTCACTAATTAAAATTACTAGGCAAAAAATGTTCAATTAAATCTGTTGTTATCTATTATCTATTTTTATCTATCATTAACCCTTGGGTAAAACGTTAAAATGTACTTTAAGTACATCACTTATTTTTCTTTTATCCACTGTACATCTACATCTAAGAATAGAAATGATGAAGTTACAGATAATGGAAAAACCCATACTAAATTTAATCTCAGAATATCCAATAAAAAATGTTCCTTTATTAGAAATAAATGCAATATTTTGTTGACTTAAACTAGCATGGGATTCACACAATTCTGAGAAAATGAGATAATATCGTGTACAAAACAAATATTTGGTGAGTACTATTTTTAAAGTCATAATTTAATAGTTATGTACACAATTATTAAGAAAATTTTGTCGAAATAAAAAATATTATTTATATTACTACAAGAATGTATGTTAATCAATTTTGCATACTGATTGTTTAATATTTATCATGAACGTGTAAATTCTAAAATAAACTAAAAATTTTATAATCGCAAATAAATACTTTTTAGAGTTTCTAGCATTTCTAACATAAAATTTCGTTGACATATTTTGGAGATATTGCTTCAAAAATAAAATACTAGGTACTACTTTTTAGAGTGTCTAGCATTTCTAACTTAAAATTTCGTTGAGATATTTTGGACATAAGTAGTGTAGAGTTGTATGCACATAATGTGCAACTTAATGAGCTACCCCCCTGTATGCGCATAGTGTGCGCCATAATGAGGTATTTGGCTGATGACCCTGTCTAGACACATCGATTAATAACCTGCTGTGGTTTGACCGGTTGATGGCCTCAAGACAGGTCTAAGCAAGTAAAAAACCAGAACCACCATTTTACTTTTAAACTGATTTATATGTAAACACCACCTGTGATTCGACATAAGTTTATTAAAAGAAGCCAACATTTATTGTGAACAGTAGTTCAAAATGTCTTCAAATTGTGAAGCCGATGTGTTTGTTGGTGAACAAAAGTTTTATTTGAATGATTCAAAAAGCAAGCATGTTATAGTATGTTTGTCGTATATTAATAACTTTGCACCATGTGTTGTGATATCTGGAAACAATAAATGTTGGCTTCTTTTAATATACTTATGTCGAATCACAGGTGGTAGGGGTGTTTACATATAAACCAGTTTAAAAGTAAAATGGTGGCTCTGGTCTTTTACTTGCTTAGACCTGTCTTGAGGCCATCAACCGGTCAAACGACAGCAGGTTATTAACTGGGGTCACCAGCCAAATACCTCATTATGGCGCACATTATGCGCATACAGGGGGGTAGCTCATTAAGTTGTTCATTGTGCGCATACTACTGACATATTGCTTTAAAAATTAAATTTTTCTTGGTTAAAAATAAGATACTAAAAAAGTTTACCTTGTAAGAAGTATTACTGTATACTTCGTCAAACAATTGCGGAAACCTGCTCTGCATTCTCTCGGCCAAAACTAGCATTTCTTCTTCTCCTTCATGAGTCAATTTATTGTGTTTATCTGGGTCCATGTTAAACTTCCATTTGTTCAGCAAATCTAAGTCCCTGTTTCTTATAAATTCTAGAAAAATTAAACCAACGTGTTACCTTGTGTTGCTAAATTTTGTTATAAAGGTCGGTCCTTAATTAATGTTTCGGCTATCATGAGTTTCGTAGATATTGAGGGAGCTTTGAAAAGAGTACGGAGTACCAGTAGTCATATGTCAGTGAATAAAAGCCAGCCTAGAAGAAAGGGTAATATCACCTCTAGGCGAAGTTACACTGACATCTAAAGCTGGCATGGGCTGTCCCCAGTGAGGAGCACTATCACCCCTCCTCTGATCAGTCCTAGTGGTCGAACTCATAAAACGGCTAATATCTGCAGATTTCTACTGCCTAGGGTATGCCGATGACCTGGCGATCGTCGTAAGAGGCAAGTTCGCAGGTACAATATTGGAGCGCACACAAACCGCTCTAAACATTGTTGACGAGTGGTGCAGAGAGGAGGAACTAACAGTAAACTCTCTCAAAACTACAATAGTCAACTTTACAAAACGAAAAGTACCAACAGGACTAAAGTCACCAGTACTAAAATGAGTGAAGATTCCATTTGCTCAAGAAGCCAAATACTTGGGAGTCAGCTTTGACCACGAGTTAACATGGAATCAACACTTGCAAAAAGTCACCCAAAAGAGCACAACATCCTTCAACTTATGTCGAAGGTTGTGTGGAAAAAATGGGGACTACAACTGAAAATGTCCCTATGGTTATATACCAGAGTCATAAGGCCGATGATAACCTACGGGTGGGTGGTATGGTGGCCAAAGACTCGGCAAGCTGGAGCCATTCTTCATCTCAATGGTATTCAAAGGCAAGCATACCTGAGTACCACGGGAGCTATGAGAACGACTCCAACAGCAGCTATAGAAGTCATGCTAAACCTAACACCACTACATATATTCATTCAAGGCACAAAGGTTCATCACCCATAAGCAGTTTGCATGGACGTGACTACAGCGAGTTATATAAAGAGTTGGAGAACGACCAAATAATGGAAATGCCTTCAGATGAAATGCTCCCAAAGTATAGCTTTCAAAACCAATATAAAGTAAGTATACCAGAGAGGGAAGCGTGGACGGGAGGACCTCCTTTTCATGCAGAATTCACCTGGTATACAGACGGTATAAAAAATAAATGGGGGGAGGGACTTTAAATCCGCAATGTATCATTTAATGTACATTCTTTCATTATGTATGAATATTAATTACACTTTTATTTTTGTTACATGTATCACGTTTCCTTTTTTATTTTAACATTGTATTTGGTATTTGTCTAAATAAATTATAAAAAAATTAAAAATGAGGTTTTAGGATTATCCTGCAGAAGCTCGGTCCCGCCTGGCCCTGATAATCGAGGTTCTATTGTATTCGCTCCGTGCGTGACAGCAACGCTAATTTATTTTTGTACTAATGGACTATTTTTGCCTATACTGACAAAACAATTTTTAATAGAATTCGTAATTAAAAAGTATATATGTTAGTTTTAATAAAAGTATATGGATTTGTAAAACAAGTAAAACATTAATTTATTATTATTAAATATTTTTATCGCTTAAACTAAAAAAAATTAAGTATATTAAAAAATAATCAATAATAAAATAAAGGCAGGCAACAGTATTTACGGGATAATGTATGAGAAGTTGCCTAAATCTAATAAGTTGTCTTTGGAGAATTAACATATTCTGTCAAAATAAAAAAATACCTTTAAATAATAGCGTTAAGTTAAAATGTATAAACAGAAGGATTGTTATTTACATTTTCATTTTTGTTCGAAAGAAGACAGAATGATTAAAACTGGTTTCCTATCAGTAAGTCACAAAATTGCATTCCAGCCACATACAATAAGCAAAGGCAAAAATCTAGTTCTTGGTGAACATTTAAGATTAAAGGGATGTTGAAGAACATCGTAAAATGATATTTATTGTTTATTTAAAACCTTTCAAGTTTCTTATGTCTACTATTTCCAGTATTACTGTTATTATTACAAGAATAAAGGTAATTTTTCTTCTTATTGTACACATATCCATTTATTTCTTTGATTTAATTTCCACTTTGCTACTTGTTAAGTCCAATTTTCCGCGCGAAATAATTTTAAATTTGAATACCAAATGACAATACCGGAAACACTTGAAAATTACGATGGGAGACGAACAATTCGATATGTGTCATGTCGGCATTCGGGCCTGTTAAAAAAGCTCCCTTTGAAATCGAACTTGTATTTGTTGTAGCTAACAATAAAAGTAAAAATGCAGTTACAAGTGTTTTAATAAGTACGGTCCTTCGAAATACAGCAGAAATCCAACACTACTTAAAAATTTTATAATTTAGTTTTTTTTTGCTAGTATTTTTACAATTTTTAGCATAGCAACTCCGGTTGCTTATTGTTTTGTTTTTACCTACTTTTTTGAAAAAAAGTAAAATTTATACGTGTATTTGATATGCCAAAATTACAAAATATCGCCCTAAAATGCACGAATTATCCGCAGCTAGGTATCGCTGTTGCTTCCCCTACCATGACTTCGCACTGAGCGAATAAGAGTTTACTAGAATTTGTAAAGATAGCAGAAGTTGTTATATTTTTTTGGCAGAAAGGTAATGATTTCAGATTTTTTATATTGACAGTTAAGCCGTGTGAAAGATAATATAATATTTGAAGACACAAGTGGATAAAGGTGTCATGTCACAAAAAGATTATTTCGAGGAAAACAAGTTTAAAGTTTTACAATTGCATTATGATATATGCAGGGCCGCCGAGAGCCAGGTGGAGGGAGCCCCGCGACAATTTTATAAAAAAAATTAAGCCCTTTCAATATCACATTCCAAAAAAAATGTCATCTTGTATTTTACATAAACCAGCACTCCTCCCTTCTGTGGTGAACTTCTAAAAAAAATGAAACGTCCTTACCTAAAGCTGCCGAGCCCCCACTTTTGCCCGGGCCCCGGGATATTGTCCCGGCTACCCCCCTCCCCCCCCCCTTTCGCCGGCCCTGATACCTTCCTATCTGATGAATAGCCGCTATTTATCAAAATTGGAAATCAGAACTATCACAAACAAAAAATATAGTATATTTTAAGTATATTAGGCCATAAAAATCATTTTTTGAAAAAATGTGACATGACACCTTTAGCCACTTGTATCTTCAATTATAAAATTTATGTGCATCGATATTACCGATATATTGAAGTTTAAAAAAAATGTGTAATCTGCATATTATACAATTTTGCTATTTTGATTTGTACAAGATAGTCATTAATAAAAACTAGCAATAAAACAGGGCCCAATATTGAGCCCTGCTGCCCCGCTGTCACATTTCGACTCTTTTATTGAATTCATAGAAATCACTAGTAATTTTAATAGTTATAATACCTACAAATCGAAAATTTTTAAGGCTAGATCATAAATAACAATAACTACTAGTTACTCCCTTTTTAAACAGCAATCTTATCTCCAAAACTGAAAATAATATTTATCAACTAGAGTGTAAGACCCCTATTTTAAAAATAATCCTTATGTGTTATTATTCTAGGAATTAACAATGATTAATACGTTGCATATAATTGCAGTTAGCAAACAACATGACAAATGAAGGTTTCTAGTGAGTGTCCTCATGGTCAGACCTTTTAAAATGAAGGCAACCATTTTTTTTTATTTCAAAGTACTTATTTTCCACTAGTTATTAAAATGATCTATTTTTTCTAATATTAAAACACCATTAGAGTTTAATTAATATTAAAATTGTTAATCTAGTACTGCTGATAAATATTTAGTAATTTGAATTCATAATGCGGGTTTACTCACTGAATGTATCTGCATTTATTCAATTATTATGTAATAAAATATAAGTGTGACTAATTCCATTTACATGTTTAAAGTAATAGTTATAATGAACTAGTTAAAATTTGACAAATTCCGAGAAGAAGTTTATATAATATAATATATTATTATTGTTGTATTCGAACAATATATATTGTACATTTTTTCATCAAACTAATTGTTATAATCTGTTATTGAAAGTCAAAATCGTTTATTAAAATTTACTGAACTTACCATTTGGTAAACTACCGCCATCAAGAAGGAGTTTCTTGATTTGTGGTAATCTGCTACCCATCTGTTCGATGAGAGAATATTTTGGATTCCTGGTTCCATGTCTTGCCATCAACCAGATTTTTTTTGGTGTACATCCTGTAAGAAAAAACCTATTTAAAATCTGTAGCAAATAAAAAAAAAATATGTGATAATATTTACAGAAATTGGAATAACAAAAAATTCAAATAGTTCATATTTTTCTATCTACGAGGAGTAGCCAAATAAAATCTCGCATATATTCAATGACAAAGTACTGCACAATTATAACTAGATTGAAAATTAACCATGGGTACTTTCCGTCTCATTTATATAAAATAGGACTGACAGATTCTCCACTATGTTCTCTTGTAATAATGACCTGTAGGATGATCCTATGAAAGCAGGTATTCAGTTTCCTAGGTGTGTTAAGGTGTTGCTCGCGACTGGAAATCAATCTGTGTACGATTTATTGGTAGATTATATAAGTAAAAATAATATTAATATCTAATATTTAAACGTAATACCCTTCAATTTTTGTGTGGCTGAAGGACTAACGTCCATTGCCAATAAAGGAGGAAAAAAAAATTATGTGGATACTGTAAAAAAACAAGCAAGCATAAGCATAAGACTGGATGTTTTTTAGTAGTAGTTTTAAGAATATTGAATTGTAGTTCTATAGGACGACTGCTCTTCTGTTTACAGAGATTGATCAGAAGTTTATTTTTGAATATAATATTTCATAAATCAAAAGAGCTAATAGGTATCTTAATAAGAAAAGGTTGTATAGGTATTTTATGGGCTAGTTTAATTACACTAATAAATTCAAAATAGCAGAAGAAATTGGTAAAAAACGGAATTTTTCCATTTTTAATTATTATTGTATGGCCTTTATTTTCAACAATAGAATATCATACTTTAACAGGATGCTGTACAACAAGTTAGATTACTGAATTTGGATCAGTCGACTTTTCCGAAGATTTGTTTAATAATATTAAAAAATTTGTAATATAATTATTATATTCGCCAACATCCGATGTTCCTTTTCATAATCTATTAAGTTTAATGGCTTCTTCAGCAGTGTTAACAACAGGCTACCCCCAACGATGTTCGACGATTCCTTACGCGTTCATGTCTTAAGAGCTTTTACCAAACCAAGATTTGGTTGATTAAACTCTTTAAAACCAAAAATGAAACTGCCAGCTGCCAAAGCCAGTTTTTGAAGAATTCTAACCACCGTAAATATGAACTTTACCGTATAATTGTTCTAATAATTAATTTTTCTTTAATTTTCCCCGAGTCGTGACTATTTTTTTAAATTTCTTTAATGTTGACGTTTGATTGAGGCTATGCGGAAGTTATACACCGGCCGTTTTGTTTGTTGATTTTTGTTCAGAGTTATTAGTCATTGCAAGGTAAAAAGGTGGGAGTTGCATTATTTATTTATTTTTGTATTATTTTATACTAAATATATGTCTCAACGTTATTCTGACGTATTACTGAGATAGTACTAATTTTCTTGGTTACTGTCCCCAAACAATGATTAAAGCCCGTTGCTTGGGTCTTCTTATTGTGTCTAGGTAATCTTTGATCCCTGGAATTTTTCATCTCCATCTGTAGCTACCCGAGTACTTTCAACGCTGCTTCGAGAGATTATGGAGTGAACTACAATAATAAACGTAATTCGTAAGGAACCGTTTTCTCTGTGGCGAGAAAACCCTAGCTCTTTCAATTAGATATTTTATTATTCTAATTACACATTTATTTATTTTTTTCAATATTAATAGGTAATAATAATAAAAATAAATTTATTCGATATCCCTACTATTTCACATATTATACAAGATGTCCCAAATTATATAAAACAGGACAGGTTACAGATCTCATAATTTTAAGCAGAAAGGTTCATATTAGCAATGGTCCGATCTCGATCATTAGCAAAGTTACAGGTGGTTCAACATTGATAGAAATCATACATTTTTCGTCGCACGCCATTGGTTAAATTTGATTTCTTTCTTTGCCTTTTTAATTAGTCTCTTGACTTTTGATCGAATTTTGATCAATGTTCACGTAAATTAAAATTAAAGAAACATTTTAGCCGCCTATAACCCCGCTACTGATCCAAATTGGACTATTAGTATAAACTTTTTTGCTTAATTTATAAATTTTAATTTGATCCGTACAATTTTGGACACCTGTATAACACATTTTTAGAAGTGTAATAGTTTATTTACAAAAAAAAAATAAGACTGGGTTATGGTGACAATATGGGTTGGACTAATGTCGTAGTGCGATAGAGATAGATATATGTTTACAATCGTAGGTGCAACTAAGATGGGATATACAAAGCGATGTGGAAGGAGACACCGATAGCCGACGGTAAATCAATAAACACGAATTATTTTATTTTTTATATTAATTACTATGAGTTGATTATCAATCGACGGAAAAATGTGATTGATATTTTGTTATAATCTATAATTTATACAAATTTTAGAAACTTTTATGAAGAATAACTTTTTTGTTTTAAAAGCTTGTTTAGCTAATTTTGTAGTGTAAACATAAAAAGTAGGTACAACATTTTTCGCATTTTTTTTTTCCTAAGATAAAACCGAGAAAATTGCATATTTAGTTTTTTGGGCCTTAAGCCCTAATGGTTTTTTAATGTTTATAATAATATTGTAGTACACGTTACGATCTATTCAATGGTACCAATTTCTCGTTTTTTGAAACTAGTGCCCTTCTGTGCAGTCTAATTTTAGATTTCCTATAGTTTTAGAATCTCCAAAATATTATTTTTCAATAAATTGACAATTTAGCTTGTGACACACAGAAAATATAATTTCGATTGACTGGCCCTACACTATCACATTATTTTGTTTGCCACAAAAATGCTGTTTAAATTCGAACAGCCCTCGTAATATAAAAGTGTAAGTCATCTTAGAATGTTATCATTTGATAGGACAATCATTGTAGTAAATATTCAATTAGAATTTGTTTAACATATTTAATAAATAATGCTTTATCGTTATTCATGATAATAGTAAAGGAATGTAGGTATTTCCTGAATAGGCTTCTCTTAGTTCTCTTTGAATTGAAATAATATTTTAACTACTTTGGATTCTAAAATCTATATTTCTAATCTATATTTTTTTTTGTTAATTTGGTGAAGAAGAGGTTGGCAACCAAATTATAAATACTTTTGCGTGAAATAAATCTAGATCTATAAATGTCAAATTGGAGCTTGGACAACAAACTTTTTCTTCCAAAGCCACATTGTTAAAATATAATGGAGAACGCAAAATAAGACAACAAATTATTTTTTGCAAATAACCTTCTGAAATCACCCATTCGTGTTATGCATAACAATAATAACTATAATTTTTGTCATGTAATCACCTCGGTAATCACTAGAATAGTTTTGCTTGCCATTTAAACGAAATAATTACAAACAGTGCTATTTATCTTCACATCCGGTCCGATACAACAATTTTAAAGAAATAGGAGGATTAGTAGTTAAAAACATGGGGGTAAACACCCCACATGCTCATAAGTATGATGCAACCTCTTTCAGCATGTGCTTAATCAGGCGATTATCAGTTGTTACCTATTATTAAGATGAAATTAGAGTTAAATGAAAGCTAAGGGTCTCCTCTTTAATAATAACTAGGGTTACCTCTGTAATCCATGTTTTAAGTTATTTTCTATCATTCTGAGAGGTGCTTATGTTACTGTTAATCCATGATTAATAATTTATTGAAGCGAACCTGAGAAAAAAAACACCAAAACTAAATTGAAAGGTCTAATGGACTATAACAACGCAGCGGAATTTTTAATTCTATTTACTTAGAAACAATCAATAACGGTATTTATTTTTAAAAGAAAACATTGATACATCCATTTAATTAGCCTTTAGTTACAACCAGAGCTGGGAAAGATACTTTAAAAAAGTATCTAGATACAAGATACAGATACTTTCGTAAAAAGTATCTTAAGATACATTTAGAAAAAGATACTAAGTATTAAAAATATCATAAATACAAGATACCTCTAAAAAGTATCTAAGATACTTTCGAAGAAAGTATGTAAGATGGTTTTTGAAAAAGATAGTTCTAAAAGTATCCAAGATACTTTTTAGTATCTAAGATACTTCTAAAAGTATCTAAAATACTTATACTTATAAGGTATCTTAGATATTTTTAGCAGCTAAGATATCTGCGACAGCCAATGCCGCAGATTTTCTTTGAAAATTGTGGTCATCAGTGAGATGCCACAACTAGAAAACTTCTTGTTTTGCTTGACTACTCTACATCCTTAAGTTTAATATTGAGAATGCATATTGATTAAAGATGGTTCATTGCCGTTAAAAAAAAGAAAAAGGTCCTCAGCTTATTTTTCGTAAAAACGAGGGTCTTTTACCCGGACATTTCTATATTTTTATATAAATCCGGTCCCTCTGCGACTTCTAAAAAGCGTGGCATTTGCATAAAAAGCGTACAAGCAAGTCTGGCAACCCTAGTAAATACAGAGTATCTAGCTAATTCACAAAGAGATTTGTTCTTCTCCAAGTATACTGACAGCATGAAATCCTCTGAAATGCAACTCACCGATCAGCGCATAATCGACAGATCTGAACATGTGGCTAGACTTTGCGACCTTCGCGCAACCTAAAAACATCTATTTCATAAAGTATCTTAACTACTTTTAAAAAATATCTTAGATACTTTTGAAAAGTAACTTAGATACATATGAAAAGTATCTTAGATACTTTTTAATATCTAAGATACTTATACAGTATCTTAAATACTTTTTAGTATCTAAGATACTTATAAAGTATCTTAGATACTTAAAAATAGATACAAGATACAGATACTTTTAAAAAGTATCTTTAAATTTAGATATTTTTGCATCACATGAAAAAGTATCTAAATACAAGATACAAGACACTATCTTGTATCTTAGATATTGAAGAGTATCTTTTTTTCTAAGATATTCCCAGATCTGGTTACAACGTTGCCAAATATTATACTAGGAAAGCGAATGTTTTTAAAACATATCGTTGTCAATATCACGAAGTGACGTAACTCGATTTTCACAACTTTACAAGAGAGCGTTTTAAATTTTTTTTATAGGGTTACGTTTCTTCGAGAAATTATCAGATACACCGGTTAGATACGTGCTATTTTATCTCAATTTTCAATTTTTTCAAGTTACGTCACTTTGTGATATTGACGACGATATGATAACTACAATCGAGGCTACCCTATTTATTTATTTATTTATTTATATTGCCACACCACTTCATGCATTGTCCAGAATTGTTAAAATAAAGAACAGACACCTAATTATTTTTCTATTTCACTTTTCTTAATACAAAGACATTTGGCAACAAAATTTAAATTTTCTGAATGTATTGGTACAGGTCACGGGATAGAGGAGGCATAAAATGTTTAACAGGTCGATTTTTATTTCTATAATATCCTCAACTGTCATATGTCATTCCTCTCCCCTACGTCAATCTAACCACTACAATTTAAATAGGGAAAATACCAAGTATGAATGGTAATATTATGGGGAATTTAGAAATATAACTGTTCATTGTGTTCCTTTTAATTTTAGCGCCCTCTAGCCCACGGTAAATTTTGACACTTCATTTGAAAGCTAATTTTATTAGTAATCCAATGCACCACATACCATTAACCTAGATATCTCCATATTGCACTTGCAACAAAATAAATTTAGTAATAATGCATTCTTTTACCTTTTAGGTTCATTTTTGATTTAGTTAACAATATTACGTAGTGTATTAAATTACTAATAAAATTATCTTTCAAATGAAGTGTCACACTTTACAATAGGTAATAATTTTTTTATCCCGTTAGTGGGCGCTAAAATTAAAAGGAACGCAATGAACATTTTGCTGAATTCCCATAAAATTACCTTTTCGACGATGCGTCATACTTGGTACTTTCCCTATTTAAATTGTAAGTATTGGTTATATTGACGTAGGGGAGAGGAATGACATAAATATGACAGTTGAGGATATTATAGAAAGGTGTCTCCCTTAAAATAAAAATCGACCTGTTTTTGAGTTTTTGTAAACAATGTATTTCATAGTATAGAAGATTTTTTGAACTTTTAAACTAATCTAACATGAATTGTCTATAATATATATTTTATTTTTTAATGTATTTTACTTAACATTTTTTTAACTGGTCTGATAGTATTTTACATTATGTACCTAGTGTCTTTGTAAAGTGTATAATTCTCAAAGATGAATAAATTCTATTTCTATAAGTTATCCTCAAATTTTCAATAATGATTATGCTGGGCGAACACTAGTTTATATAAACCTTTGATCAATGCAAATCTCAATGAAAATAGTAATATTATATTACTAGTTTTGAAAGAGATATATTTTGCACAAGTTTTGAAATGTAAGGAGAGAATAGTAATATTATATTACTAGTTTTAAAAGTGATATATTTGGCACAAGTTCTGAAATGTACCGAGAGTTAACTATTTTTCCTCGATAACTAAATATTATTTAAAATTAAAAAGCAGGGGATGTTAAGTAATTCAAAATACAATATCGTAAAATGTATGGTAAAAATTGAGTTTTAATGCAATTTTAATAGATCCGGTGGCTTAATGAATTATTAGATCAGTTTCCTAGTGGTAAGTAGAATACTGTGGATTTATACATTTTAAAAGAAAAAAAAAAGGTAAAATATATCATTTTATGAGGTAAACCTATAGTGAATCAATCATAAATATTTTGATAAACATTTCTTTTCAAAAATAAGATTATAGATAAGAATGTCTAATTTGTGACAAAGATAATCTTTAACTAATAAAAAACAGTTGAAACAAAAATTGTTGATTGTATTTTCATTAGTGAAAAAACAGTTGAAACAAAAATTAGTTGATTCTATTTGGAACCTATTAGTAAAAGGTAAAAAAGTTACTATTTTTAACATATATATTTCCAGTTTAAATGGAAAATTATGATAGATAATTTTTTGTCCCCAAATCAAAATTTCCATTTAATCTAATGCTGAGAAAAATTACTGTTAATATTTCGCACACCTGCTATAAAAGCGACACAACTCAAAAAAATCCCATTTTTGAGATACTTCCATAGATTGATCAGAAATTAAACACCCTACCTTCTAAAGAAGCATTATTTTTTTACTAATACTTACTAATACTTTACTAAACTTCAAAAAAATCAGATGCAATGCCTGGCATTATCTTTAAACGGTTTTTTTCTAGCAACTATATTTTTTGAGTTGTGACGCTTTTTTAGCGGGTGTGTGATTTATGTATGCATATGCAAAAATAAATGATAATTAGAGAATATTGTATATAATACAATAAATTTCATTTTTTGATAATGTAGGCTAAGAAGTAATGTTCAGTTACAAATAACATATTATTACTTACTTAAAAAATATATATAGATATATGAGAAGCTTTTTCCGTTATAAAATGGTTAAATATTAAAATTTGTTTCGGTTTTCTTTAATGAGGTGATTAAAATATTTTAATTTCTTTTAAATGCTGCAAATTAGTGCAAAATATCCACTAACAGAATAAGTGTGGTCCTACACAAATTTTAATTATATAAAGGATCATCATTTCACTATTTTTAAGTAAAAAATAAAAAAGAACCACTCAATAAAGGTAAATTTTAAAGTGTACTTAGCTAATGATGGTAGTAAACAAGATTTTTACTTGTATACTTAATATACCTAATATTTAAATAAACTGTAAACATACCTTCAAAATTAATCCTTTCGAAGCTTTTATTTGAAACGATTCTGTAAGGAGTAATGGTAGCAAGATGATTTTCAAAAGGATAACCATAGTTGCTGCACTGGGAAGAAAATCTTACAAAACAGCACATTAAAACGGATAAAATTAGCTCCAATGTAACTTGCATGGTTTTTGATTTAAAATAAAGCTGTAAATTTCCGATTTATGCATATATACTTTATTAAGCGATAAATTTCGATATATTTAACTGGTTTGACCGAATTCTAAAAGAGGTTACCTAACTGTAAACCCGCATCTGCAAACTGTTTTCAGTGAATTATAATTTATCCATTGTAACTTTTTCTGCGTTATCCTAATGTTTGGAGATGCAATTACACAACGAAATTTTATACATTTTACTTAATACCGAGACAAATAATGTGATTACATTCAACTCAATGTGTCAAAGTAACTGAACAGTTGTGTTTATTTATTATTTATATTTGATATTTGATTTGAATCGGTTCGTTTGAACTACGAAGCGTATGTCGGTGATTGTTACGCTAGCATAGGTTAGTTTGAAAAGTACAATGTCAAATATATACGAGGGAGGTTTAAATTTTTAATAGTTTAATTGAGCAATTTCCTATTGTAAAATTACTTTAATTATCACTTAAGTGTAAATTACATTAGAACACGCTTATAATATTGCTTAACACCAAATAAAGTTAACTTTGGAACCATTATATCATTCTTATTTTGATTTACTAATTTTGTATAAATACATTTTGGTAGGAAATAGTTTTTTATCACATACCTACTAAATTTGTTTGATAATATGTTATTTTAAGCTTGTCATGTACTGTCTAGCATGGTGTAAATTTATGCTGCCTAGGAAATTTATGAATAATATACTGACTCAAAATATACAGCAGCGGTCATATGGCGGGCCGAGGATACTATAAACGAATATAAATTTAACGATTCAAGTGAATACTTTACATTTACGACCAATCGCACATAAACTTTTGTAAACTCTCTTTAACTGTATTATAACATTAATGAGTCAAACTCAGTGACAGGCATTAACCTCGACTTACTAAGGAGAATAATATAGAGATCTTAGTAAGCAAAATCATAGTTAGTGTTGAAATTAAATTTCTATCTCTGCTGTCTTTTCTTTGAATGACTGTTGTGATATTAGCCAAAGAAGTGGTTGTTTTCCAAAGGAAACGATCGCTCATTACATTTTAGTTGAGTTATTTTCCTTTGTTAAAATATACGTTCACTACACAAGTTTGATACTTTGGTTTATTATTTAGGACACGAAGAATCAGAATCTGCAACAAAAAAAAATCCGTTTGTCCGCCATACACCTTACGCATGGATTTTCAGCACGCTACAAGTCGTATATACAAGCGGTATATAATTCAGTACTATCAAAGTAGAAAAAAGCAGATAAAAATAAATCTTTTTCATAAAAAATTGTTTATATCCAATCACAATAATTTTAATTCTGTCCCATACATTGTTTTTAATTCAGCGGATTTACAGGGCTTGAGCCTTCGTAGGGCCGTTAGCATAAGTTTTAGTTTAAAATGTAACTGGACCTTTTTTGTAGATAATCTTAAGTTGAACAAATTTTGTTTGAATGTTTTTTTTTGGATACAATGCATATTTCCTGAAAAACAGGAAAAACAAAAAAAATGTATTTTGACTTAAACCATTAAAGCTACCAAATTTTCTTACCAGGTCATCATGTATTTATAATCTACGCAAAAACACAAAAAAATTACATTCTTCTATATATAAAATATATTCTTTCAGTTGAGCGCAATAGCATACTTTTTCGTTTTGTAGTCTGTGCGTAGATAAGCCAATATCCATGTGGGTGTAGAAAAAGATATTATTCTTTCGAGCAATATACTTTAAATTAAATAGTATTTTTCCTTATGGTTGAATTCAGAAATAATAGACAGTAATTGAAAGTCAAAAATATGTGAAGAATGCTGTACAAATTTGCCATATGCAGTATCTTTGATAGAAAAATTACTTTCATCGTACAAAAACGTAACACCCTGTATATCCTATAATATTTTCAAAATATGTCTTGTTCAAATCCATATATAACTTTTAACAGAATGTTGTTTGTGTATTTATAATACAAATTGATTCATCGAGCAATTACACACTAATGGAACATCCTGTATAATATATTTCCAATAGGACCGGACCCAAAATTTTTAGATTTACTGAAACCCGAAGCTAACCCGGAATCGTTTATTTCATTTCGGACCGGTCTCAATGACAAACAATTCCATTACTGTACTGCCTATATTATTATCGAATTCAATTGTTTCTACTTTCGCATATGTATTTCTTCTGTAAGTACTTTGAAAGAACCAGAACCTAAAAAGTATTGGTACACTGATTTGCTTTTAGTTGTACCTACCATTTACATACGTACTACCGTAACATGCAATTCAAATCGCGTGTTAAATTCAATTTAATCACAAGGTTACATACTATTTACAAGATAATATTTTAGCACAAGTACGTTATAAGGTACGAAGTCTAACAAAGTTTCACTTTTCAAATTACATTTTGATGCAATAAATCATTATTAACAAGAACATTTTAATTAATATGCAACGACAGTTACATAATAGTTATCGACTATTCAAATAGAATCCTTAAAGTGAGTGATTTAATAAACGATATTCCCTCATTCATCCAGTTCCAGTTGTGTTTCAAGTTGATAATCCTTTTAGTTGCGTAAGAGACATCATTTCAATTTTGTCACGCTCCTTAACTGGTTCAACTATTCAACAAATTGCGAGGTAAGCAATTTTCCAATTAACTCATCTCATGATATGCTTTGCTTGCTAAGAATTTCTAAAATGCTAAATAAATCATTAGCTATTCTTAAAATATGAAATATGAATTTATTTTCAATTGAAATAGAAGTATATACTGGTGGGGGGAATATATTACTCTCCCTCACTCCATCCTTGATAAAATAATTAACAATGCATATATACCTATTAACTTATCTGTTACCTATTACTCGTATATATCTTCTAGTAAGGCCGGCATTAGACTATAAAATATATTTGATGAAAAAAATATGATAGGGAAAAACTTGACTAACATAAGTTACATTAAATATTTCATTTTGTTCAAAGTTTCATTTTGCTACATTCAACTCCTACTGTATCTCTGGCCGTAGAGAAAGTACAGTATGTTACTCTGTTGTCAACTCGTAACGAATTTTCATTTCAACCTTGTTACAGAATATACTATTCAGTATTTTTTTAATATCTATAAGCACATTCAAAGAAACAATAATGTATGAAACGTGGACGACAAAGCTAAATAGGCTAGCATTTTTATATTATAAAAAAAAAATAAAGGGAGTTCCAATAAAAAAACTGTAATTTTGATATGTTTCAATATATTTTTAAATTCTCTTTGCATTAAAATGTTAAAATAAAAAAGTAGTGAAGGCTACGGGCGTCCGAAATAGGTACAATTTTAAAGACAATGATGACATTTCATACTAGTTTATTTTGGACTAATTTTTGTATATATTTGTATCGGTCAAAATGGTTCGCTCAGTGCTAAGTCATGGTAGGAGAAGCAAAAGCGATACTAGCGCTAGCATTTTAGCATATCAAATACACGTATACATTTTACTTTTTTTTCAAAAAAGAAGGTAAAAACAATACAATAAGCTGTGTTGAAAATTGTAAAAATACTAGCAAAAAAGAACAGTGAAAATTATAAAAAATTTCAGTAGCAAAGTGGAAATTAAATCAAAGAAATAAATGGATAGGTGTACAATAAGAAGAAAAATTACCTTTATTTTTGTAATAATAACAGTAATACTGGAAATAGTAGACATCAGAAACTTGAAAGGTTTTAAATAAACAATAAATTATCATTTTACAATGTTCTTCAACATCCCTTTATTCTTAAATGTTCAGCAAGGACTAGATTTAAAGATTTCTGCCTTTAATTATTGTGTGTAGCTGGAATGCAATTTTGTGACTTACTGATAGAGAAAACCAGTTTTAATCATTCATTGTTTTCTTTCGAACAAAAATGAAAATATAAATAACAATCCTTACCCGGTAAGCTGAGTTAGGCCAGCACTGCAGATGGCGTAATCTAGGTAGTTGAGTTAGACCAGCGACCTTCTTTAATCCTTTGTCAATTATATTAGGAGTATTATTAAGTAATTAGGAGAATGATGTGTAAATACATTACGGATGTAAGGAAAATAGAAAAGTACTATTTTATTCTGTCTTTAATTGTCACCGAGTATACATTACGATCATGGAAGTCAAATATATTTTTAGCGAAAAGGGGAAAAAGTTGTTAGTTATAGGCAATTTTAAATTTTGTGAGGCAAATACTCTTGCCAATGGTGAAGTGCGATGGCGATGTGTTAAAAAAACAAGTGTTCAGCCAAAATTTATATCCTTCGTGACCAAATAATGACGAGAAAAGTGATGTCAATCACAACCATGAGGAAGACGACACTATTCAACGACAGGCCCTTAACAATGGTATTAAAAGGAAAGCATTGCAGGACCTGTCAGAAAAACCCTCAAAATTCATCCATCAAGAATTGTTGAAATTACATTCAACATGTCCTATCTGCAGGGCAGATTAATCTAAATCAGCATTTAACAAACAAAAAAGAATAAAATACTAAATAGACACTCCCTGTATAAACCTCCGCACTTAACAAATAAAAAAGAATAAAATACTAAATAGACACTCCCTGCATGTATAAAACAATTATCCAAAGCTGTGCAATAACCACCCTTTTAACTTTCAAGTAACCTTCAAAAACACCTGCTGCCTCGAATACAGTTAAAGATAGTCACGCGAGATTTTTCACCCAATCATAAGACAGATCTTAAAAACAATAGTATCGCGTGCAAACATACGAAAAAAGGCAACCAATTAGAGAAAGGTAAACAGCCGGTCTGGGTTGAGAGGCAACGCAGAACAAAACTAATTATCACTTTCGCTTTTTCTTCCGAACAAGCAACAAGTTAAAAACCTACAAAGCCGGCAATGGGCGGTAATCAATTCCAAGCATTGTGCGATTTGATTGATAAAAGTTAATATGTAAATGTTTCAATAATTCTATGTAACAAAGTTGTAAATGTGTTAAATGTGAACGTATCAAGCTATTAAAATCAAATATAGGGTGATGGTTTTATTTTAATACACCCAGTGCTTCAACTAGAACTTCAAAAATATCTTCCAGAGGCTACAGGGTGGAGCATAAGGCCTCCACCCCAGGTAATCTAATTTGAATACAGTCCACCATGATCGAAGGCAGTATACGTCAAGCCCAATAAAGCTAGGGGTTACAAGAATTCAGGAAGAACGAGTTTTGTGACGATATCACCTCGCACGACATTCATAGAGTGTGAATAAACATTTATGCCGCAAGACGTTCTGTTATGCCCACGCTCCCCAAAAATCAAGAGGATGTTTTTACTTGTTTAGGTAAGTTGAATCCTATTACAAATAAAAACGAAGAGTTTCTTTCTATTTGCGATAGGCCTTCAAAGATAATTGTGTTTGGTTGCAGAAGCAACTTTAATTTTTTATTCAGTTGATACTGTTTATATGGACAGTACATTTCAATATTCTACCAAATATTTTGTACAGTTTTTTACAATTCACGGTTACCAAAATGGACACTATGTACCTTTAGTTTTTTGCTTATTGCCCTCAAAATCACAATCTGTCTGTCTTAAATTATTTGAGTTATTGGATGCAAAATGTCAAACATTCAGTCTTTACTTTAAACCTTCTTTTGTTGTAATTGATTTTGAGTTAGCGATTCATAATGCAGTTAAAGTTATGTGGCAAAACGTAAAAATAATAGGCTGCCGCTTTCATTTATCCCAAGCCTGGTATCGAAAAATTCAATATTTTGGATTAAGCGCTGATTACCGTTCAGAAAATCAAGTAGGAAAATATTTGAAATATTTCTTTGGTCTTCCATTTATAAAACCAAAAGAAGTTGGTGACTGTTTTGCGTTTGATTTGTTTGATAACAATGATGAAGTAGGTAACCAAAAAGTAATTGAATTTTGCGACTATTTAGTAGATATTGGGGCAAATGCTACATTTTCCCCGTTTGTATAGGCTTCAGCCTCAGATTCGATGACACGTACCACAAATTCTTGTGAGTCATTTCATTCATTATTTAATAGCCATTTTTATTCTTGCCATCCGAATATTTTTCAGTTTGTGGAAATTTTACTTAACTTTCAAACAGAAACATATGTAAAAATTGTAAGCGCTACAAGTATTTAAAAAACTACGGCCTCACATCGAAAAAAGAAAATTATATTTATCGGAAAAACTGTAGATTCAATTTTGTTCAATGCATTGCTTTTAAATAATCACCAAATAGTATAATATAACCTGTACTTTATTATGTATTTGAACCTATATGAAATAAACATTGTTTACAAATAAGAATTTTTATTTTCTGGCCTAACTTAACATAGCCCTTTAATGAGTTTAAAGGATTAAAATAGCCAAGCGGTTACCGGCGATTATAGCAGGTAGTTGACCCAAATCGGTTGCGCCCGTTTATACATTTTAACTTCACGCTATTATTTAATGGTATTTTTTTATTTTGACAGAATAGGTTAATTCTTCAAAGACAACGAAGGAAGTGGAGAGGGGTAGAATGATAACTGTCAATGAAAAAGTATAGACATAAAGCACAATTTCGTTTTGAACATTTTGTAAACAAGATTCAGGGACGGTTTCAAAACATTTTGTGCAACAATTATAAAATAGTGCATTGGAAAATAATTAACAAGTATAATTTAATACTAAATGGATATCAGATCACAAATAATCACAAATGTAAGCAAGATAACAAAGAATTGACGCCTAAAAAAGCCACAACACAAACAAAAAACTGAGCTGAACATGAACATAATCGCTGAACAAAGCCAATCCTGGAATTTGTTTACAGTGCAACCTCTCCTTGTCATTTACGTGTGTAAGAGTGGAAGGTTGAATCATGCATAATTTCTACACTCGTGATGGATGCGCAGACGGTACTTTATTGTTCTACGCTCTCTACTTCTTTGAAGACAACTTATTAGACTCAGGCAACTTTTCATACATTTTCCCGTAAATATTGTTGCCTACCTATATTTTATTATTTATTTTTATTGATTATACTTACTTTTTTTAATTTAAGCGATAAAAATATATAATAATAATAAATTAATGTTTTACAAATCCATATACTTTTATTAAAACTAACATATATACTTTTTAATTACAAATTCTATTAAAAACTGTGTTTTCAGTATACGCAGAAATACCTAAATGAATTTGTGCTGCTGTCATGCACGGAGCGAATGAGTCTACCGGGAAAGCTTAAGGAACTGAAAGGTCAAAGAGGTTAGGCAAATGATCAATCATTTTTGTTTTGTCTCTATATAGACCAGTACCGAATTGAGATGTTATAGGACATAGGCACAAATGACCTAGCCCTCTGGTTCAGTACTTTAGAGAATATTAAAAATAATTTACCATTTTCTAAGTTTTCATCAATTCATCATATAACTTAAAACTTTTTTTAAATGGTTTCAACGATTATAGAGATAAGAAGGCTACTTAATGTGAATCTTCTTTTAAGAGCTGCTTATTTCATTCCTAGGTAATTTGTTATAATAAATAACTCTTTTTAAAATTCTTTTTCTAATTAATATTTATAAACATTTGCTGGTGTGTTTCATAATAACATAATCCGGGCCTGCTAAGCGTTTTATTTGTTGTA